CAGTGTGCTTATTTCAGCTCTCAACAGAACTTTTTAAGTCCTCAAATGGCTGGTGTTGTAGCTGATGACATGGAGCACTATGGCAACTGTAATCCATATAGAGGCTAAAGTAGGGTACACATGTAATGAATGTTGGCCGGTTCCTGATGTACCGGCTGAAATTTTCAGTGGGTGCTGCTCTCTTCACCCTGACAGCAGGTAATCTAACAGCAGCTGGCGGGCGCTGTCAGCATACAATGCAAACAGCAGCGGGCTACTCCATCCACATTCATAAACATTGATGGAATCTGCTCTATTTTTTTAAATTCAGCACGCGGCTTGAATGAAAAAAATAGACATATGTGTATACTTGACTTAAGATGGAACTTTCCATGGCTGGAAGGGAAAGGAGGTTGTAGTTCTGCATAATACCTAGAATCCTAGGTGGCAGTACAGCCCAACAGTCTAAGGCAGAGTTTCTCAACCTTTTGTCAGTCATGGCACCCTTTAAAAGTATGCAAAATCTCGAGGCACCCCAGTTCAAAATGTCATAGATTTAAAGGGGGGCACCTCACAAAAACAGACAAAAAAAGGGGGTTTCTCCCTTCACATCAAAGTGACCCCTTCAATTCAGGATTACTCACCCCTTTCACAACAGAAGCCCTACGTTCATATCAGAGTCCCCCCTTTCACATCAGGAGCCCCACTTTCACATCAGAACCCCACTGTCCTATCAGTGGACCCCATTTCACATAAGGAGCCCCTCTTTCATATCAGAATCCCCCTTTTACATCAGAGTTCCCCTTTCACATCAGGAGCCCTACTTTCATATCAAAGTCCCACTTTTACATCAGAGTTCCCCTTTCACATCAGGAGCCCTACTTTCATATCAGAGTCCCCCTTTCACATCAGAGTCCCCCTTTCACATCAGGAGCCCTACTTTCATATCAGAGTGCCCCTTTCACATCAGAGTTCCCTTTTCACATCAGGATCCCTACTTTCATATCAGAGTTCCCCTTTCACATCAGGATCCCTACTTTCATATCAGAGTCCCCCTTTCACATCAGAGTCCCCCTTTCACATCAGAGTTCCCCTTTCACATCAGGAGCCCTACTTTCATATCAGAGTGCCCCTTTCACATCAGAGTTCCCCTTTCAAATCAGGAGCCCTACTTTCATATCAGAGTTCCCCTTTCACATCAGGAGCCATACTTTCATATCAGAGTCCCCCTTTCACATCAGAGTTCCCCTTTCACATCAGGAACCCTACTTTCATATCAGAGTCCCCATTTCACATCAGAGTTCCCCTTTCACATCAGGAACCCTACTTTCATATCAGAGTCCCCATTTCACATCAGAGTTCCCCTTTCACATCAGGAGCCATACTTTCATATCAGAGTCCCCCTTTCACATCAGAGTTCCCCTTTCACATCAGGAACCCTACTTTCATATCAGAGTCCCCATTTCACATCAGAGTTCCCCTTTCACATCAGGAACCCTACTTTCATATCAGAGTCCCCATTTCACATCAGAGTTCCCCTTTCACATCAGGATCCCTAGTTTCATATCAGAGTCCCCCTTTCACATCAGAGTTCCCCTTTTACATCAGGAGACCCCTTCACCTCAATATTAATTTCCCCCTTCACATCAGAGACCCACTACCACAACATTTTGAGGCACCCCTGAGGAGGCCAAGAGGCACACCAGTATGCCACGGCACCCTGGATGAGAAAGGCTGATCTAAGGATTCTAAGAATTCCTGTGTCTGTGTCAATAAACTCCAAGATAAGGATTTTATGGTGAGTACAAACATTCTATTTGTACCTGGTAATATTAAATACAACATAGATTTAAAATATTTGTAATTAACACCACTATTTAAACTACTAACACACTACAACAAACAGAAAACAAAATCATTTTTGGTTTTGGTCGCTAGGCCTTGGCACTCTGCTGCCCCTGCTGGCCTTGTAGAGTCTATAAAAGGAAATTAATTGCAGCTGGAAGCCTTTTAAACAGACACTCCTAGGTTTCAGGTAAGACCATTGTTAAAAACCCAAAGCACACAATTATCCTATACATTGTATACTGATAAATTAAAAGTAACCAGGCCAGCCTAAAATACGCAGCACCTAGAGGGAAATATTTTATTTAGGACTGTTAAAGCTTGGAATAAACTCCTGACTGTGGTTTTCAGTTAATCATTCCAGCACAAACAGATTACTTTTTGGGTTTGTTTGTCTAGTACTACTGACTATGTAGGGAAATGATTGCTACAAAAGCTGCATGTGGGCCTAGGAAGTGGTACTAGGAAGTTTGGCTGGTGATGTTATAATAAAAATTGTGTATTGAAAGGCCACTTCATTGGTTTCCATTGGGCAAAATTGCTATTTTGTTATTGCTTTTCATCCCTTGACACCTATGTATACACAGTGATACTCCTCCTCCCTCTTGGCTGTGTTACATTGTGACCATCAATATTTTAATGTGCTTCTCTGAAGAAAACAAAGTCTTCAGGATGCAAGTGTAGTGGTAGGTTTCCTTTTACACCTTGGCAGTAAGACCTTGGAGTGCTCACTGCGTCTCTTTAAAACAAGCTACCAGTTGGCTTCATAAAGTTTCAGTATTAAATTTGAAGCTGCATTGTCATGTGGTCACTATGAAAACAATTAGCAGCTCAGCTGGGAATTAATGTGTTCACGGCTCAGCCCTTTTTTAGGGCCCATTCACACCGTGAGTGGTGGGATGCCATCACAGTGCCATTCATCTTGAATGTCATACACATGCATTTTGAAAGTGAACCGCAACGCACAAAGTGGTTGCAGTGAAAAAATAAAAGCTTATACATTTCTTCCTGTGCTGTGGTCCATGGGAGATGAAGTAGCTGTGATCACAGTGCAACACGAGATAAAGCTCGTTGTGGCGTATGCGGTAGCACAATGTACCATAGTGTGACTTAAATCCTCAGTGATCTTATGGGCTGGAAACTTCCTGAGAAAGTAAATACACCGGTACAAGCATACCCATAGTGGTGTGCTATTAAAGTATCCTGTAGAAGCACACCATAAATTATGATGCTGCATTGCATGGTCATCTGGTCCTTTTGTTTAGACATGAAGATTCTGGCTCAAGGTAGTCAATATCCAGAGTAACAGTCCCCTTTAACATGGCCATTTGCTTTGTGACAGGTTCCCTTAAAGGATTCTGGGCAAACTTTTTTTTTTAACTCTTGCAGTGAGGCTATGTCTGTACTGCAAGGATTAAGTGCTTATTTTTGTCTAGGTGCTTAAAAAAAAAATTGATACTCCCTTCAACCTGATACTCAGCTTGGTCTGAGTCCGGTCCTTCCAGCCTCTCTTCCCCCCTCCTCTGCAGCAAACTAGGTCCTGTTAATCATCGGTTCGCTTTTTTTGCACCTAGGCAGATGAGCACTCAACCCTTGTAGTGCAAGGGTAGCCCCACTGCAAGGGCTAATAAAAATGAGAGTTCACCATAGCTGGCTTGAACGTTTTTAAAAGTACAAGTTCTGGGGCAGTCATCTCTATTCTTGGCATCTCTCAACAAATCAGCAATGGTAGCTGCCATATTTTATCATCTGAGCTGCGTTGTGGTTTTTGTTTGTTTGATTTTTTTTTTAGACTAAGCTAAATAAGGTATTGGTGCTGCCTTGCGTTGACATGCATTAGCAGCTCAAACCTGTCCGTCGCGTTGTGCTACAGTAAGTAGATCCTGCTTTTTTTTTCAGTGGAGGGCAGCACTTGCAACGCAACACTGGTGTGAACTTCTCCTATTCACACCCATTTATTCTTGCATGTCCTTGCGTTTGCATCTATTGAAAAACAGATACTAACAGATCTGGTGTGAATGGGGCCTTACATCTGTTGCCTTCAAAAACAGTGTCAAAATCCATTTACTTACTAGAAGTGGTAAGTCATAAGTATTAGTAACAGCTAGTATTGGCAATTCAGAAAACATTCGTCAATGGCTGCTTTAGAGAGAAAAAAAAGGTTTACAAATGACAAATGGCTTTTGAGGTAAAATACTTCAATGCACTGCTGTAGTGCTGAGGATGATGAATGAGAATACAATGCACTGTCTGTGGTTTGTGATGGTGAAGGCTCTGTTGATCATTCGTATAAACTACAGGTATCCTGTGGATGTTAAAGGGTAAGTAAAAAAAAAAAAAAAGTATTAGTAGTAAATAAATATGATGGGCATTGTGGTTGGTGGTAAAGTTACGGAGTTGCACTCTATAAAATGGCCAGCATATGCACCTGCCCTGTTTTTAAAAGTGTTTACAAACATTACTTGTAATTTTCTTGTAGACAGGAAAGGAAGACTTGTGGGAACCCAACAGACCCCACCCCAGCATAACAATGGATTTAGTGTAAACTATCTGACTTAAAGGAGAACTATGAGGTGAGTGCTTTTCACTCGCCTCATAGTTCTAGCCGACCTGTGACAATGAGACTGTCACAGGCCGGCTCAGTAGATCGGGAGGTGAGCGAACACATACCGGCGTTCGCTCACCTCTCGATCCTGTCACAGCCCTCTGCCGTGAAAGGGGAGTGGCTGGATTCCCCCCTCCCCGCTCCGCCAGCGCTTAGTGGCGGATTGGACAGGGCAGGGGGCGGGTACAGCTGGCTCTGCCTCTAGATAGGCAGAGCCAGCTGTCACTCACGCAGCTTGGCGGATCCAGACATAATTGCCGGGATCCGCTTCAGCTGCCGCGTCTCAGTATACCGCGAGCTGTAGCTCGTGGTATACTGAGCTTAGGGTGATGGCAGGGCGCTAGTTTGTGTCCTCCGGTTACACTAAGGAGAACTATGGGGAAAAGCCTTAACCCCATAGTTCTCCTTTAAGCAAATTTGACTAATACCATTTGAACCTCAAAATCGACCCTGCTGTAATCTGCAATTATGATTTAATCACTAAGAAGTTGTTTTAATACATCTTTCTTTGCAGGTTGAGAATACATCTCCTGATTAACTTGCAGCACAAGAATCCTTTGCTGCTTTAAACATGCTGTCCCTTTTGCCGAGAGCTTTGACAAATTTTTCTGCCTGGAACACAAGCACCATGGAGATGGACCAGAAGCACATTGCAGGAACGTGGTGTACTGATGGTGACTATACACTGAAGATTGGCATCATCACTACCTTGGGGTGTCTGATCATCCTGGGGAATTTATTTGTACTGCTTGTTATTGCCTCGTCTGTGTCTGGCTGGTCACGTAATAGCCGCTACATCCTTATATCTTTGACTGGCACAGATGTCACATTGGCTTTGGTCGTGGTTCCACTCAATCTGTATGGAAGCCTTGTGTTAGAGCCAGGCGATGAAGATGCAGCAGATTCTGCTCTGGGATCTTACTGTCACATAGTGGCTTTTCTGAATTCAACTGTGTTTGCCTCCTCTATTTATTCCTTGTCCACCATTAGCCTGGAGCGATATGTGGCTGTATTCTTTCCTTTGCAATATAACACAGTAATGAGTCGCCGCAGAGTAAAGCTATTAATTGCAGCATCCTGGTTGTTGCCTCCTGTCTTCCTGTTTCCAATTTCAATTCCTGGTGGCACAGTGATACATGTCTATTTTTCTCGAGCCTCTCTCATCTGTAACCCAGACTATTCCAGTAACATGGCTTACTCCCTTTTGCTGACCACAGTCATATTTTTTCCTTGCTCGGTAATAGTCACATTTGCCAACTTGCGACTATGGAGGGTTGCAAGGATGCAGAGCAGAAGGATGAGCATGTGTTGCTCTGGTCGAAACAGACAGAGTGTCACCACAGTGTGTGAGCAGGTGGATGGTAGCAAACCAGTTCACCTAAGTAAAGGCAGGCATGTAACCAATGAAATGGGGGAAAGAGGCCCCCGTAGAGGAGATGCTGCATCCAGGGTGCTTATTCCTGTGGTCTGCGTGTTCTACATTTGCTGGGCACCATGCATGGTTACTATCCTGTATAATGGTAAGAACCTCATTAAATGTAGTCATTTTATTAATTGAGATTTCATGATTTTCAGGGATTTGCAGAACAAAAGGACTTAAAGTGACATTGAACCCTCAGATTTTTTTAACATAAAACAATACTGTAATGTGCGCCTTACTCTAATCCATGGTAGTTTCTCTTCTCTTTGCTGCTTTTTTAAATCTGTATCTGTTCTCATGCTCTGCAGAACGTCCGTTTTGCAGCAGACTGCCTTGTCTCAGGAATGGATACACGGTGTCTGTGTATAAGTTTGTATAGGCTTGAAACCTGAGCCAGCACTACAGGAAGAGGCCCTGAGCTGAAAAGGGAAGGTCTCACCAAGCATGAGAAGACATGAGGATTTAAAAGGAAGAGCAGGAGAGAAGGGAAACAACCATGGATTACAGTAAGGCACACATTACAGTATTGGTTTATGTTAAAAAATCTGAGGGTTTAATGTGCATGTCTAGCTGAAACATTTTTTCTTGGTTTTGGATAGTGGGGAAGGGTTATGTTGCCTATAAGTTTGATATGGCTATCTGGGGCTCTATTATATAAATTTGCCCACATTGCTGACAAAATCTGAGACCTCTAAATGTATGCACTGGAGATTTTGATAGGATTGTCCACCCTAGGTAGATTTGCCCTCTATGGGTTCTGATAACCATTTTCAGTAGAACTGAAAGTCAGAGAATATCCAAAATTGTAAAGCCTTTAACTGTCCAGTACAAAACCCCACCAAAACTCGCCTTACGGTGGATTTACCCCTGCACTGGACGCAGTGTTTATTTAATAATGAGATCCAGTTTTATTTATTCAATGTATAATAAATTCTGATTGAACTTTTACATATGCATTGGGTGTATTTATCTCTCTACAAACCCCTTTTTTTCCTATTTTTTCCTACATATTGTACCTTGGGGGGAGAGATGGCACAGGGGGCCAATGTTGAGGCAGTCCACAAGTTTTGTTTTAGATCTACCCCTGCACTGCAAGGTTTAAGTGCTTGCTTTTGCATCAAGGCCCTTTGTAAAGGACTTTTGCTTGCTTGATCCCCACTCTTTCTGGCTCCAAGACTGGTGTCTGCACCTGCTTACCCCTCCCACTCTGCTTCAGCGGTTGGGTCAGCTGATATCATAACATCAGGGGAGTGAAGTCCCCTCAATATGTGAAGATTTTCTCACGTTCTGTTGTCTCTGAGAGAAGTTAAGGGAAATCTCTCCAAAAAGATACCCACGGCAAAAAATTGGCGGATTTTAAACTGTCACTCCTCTAGACTACAGGATTGTTGTAAAAAATAACCTTGCAGTAGGCCCACCTGCACTGCAAGGGTTAAATGCTTAATTCTATGGGTAGTGGAATAAGCGGTGATACTTACCCTATTCCTCGCTTTGGCAGCTTCCATAATGGTGTGTGACTGAACCCCCTTTTTTTGGCACTCCAGCCAGTGGTTGCACTTTGATCAGCAGTCCTGCATCCCACAACCAGGAGTGCCAGAAAGAGGAGGTGAGCACCAGAAGCCTACTGTAGTGAAGAGTAAGGCACGTATTGCAGGTTATCCCTCTACCCCTAGACCTTTTGAGCAGTTAACCCTTGCAGCATGGGGGGCCCCATTGCAAGAGGTTTTTTTTTCTACATAAATTTCAGCTTTTACATACAGCATTTTGGTTTTAAAATGATAAAAGGGAATCTGATACAAAGTGAAAAAAATAAACATTGAGAGGGAACTTTAGCAAAACTGGAGCAGACAAAATTTGGAGCAGCAACCGATCAGCTTCTCTTTAATTTTCAAATCTTAACTGAACAAACTGAAGAGAGAAGCCTATTGGTTGCCATTCACAGCTGCTCCAGATTGTCTGCTCCACTTTTGATAAATTCCCCCCCTAAGGGTTTTGTTTTATAGATGGATTCCCAAGGAAATGTGCGGAATGTTTAGCTTTTAAAATTGCATATCTTTTAATTATTCTGGTGTTTCTCTCTCAGCTATTACACATAAAAGAGTTCCAGAGTGGGTGGAGTTTGCGGCCCTTTGGCTTCCAAGTGGAAATGGCTTCCTTAACTGCTTTGTGTACTTCTGGATCAACAAGAGCTTCCGACACAAATTTAGACAACTGGGAAGAAAACTGTGCCCTTGGGGTGGCTGCTGGACCCATCGGAAAAGTCGTAAAAAGGCTCCCTGTATCAAAGTCACAAACAATAATGCTATGATCATTTTACAGGAAAGATCCTGCAGTATGTCATCAACTTGCATGCTCCTTCCACAGACAGCAGACTCTGTTTTATAATCTTAATCAGAGATGGTGCCTAACTTGGCTTAACTTATTCATACCATCTATTCTAACCAGTGGTCTCTTTAATATCAAAAAATGCACTTTAATGTATGCGCACTTACCAAATCCTTGTATAACTGAGTGGCATAGACAGCTTTAGGGCCTCAGATGGTTTCCCAATGATTTCCAAACTCCACAAAGTAAGCTCTCTTTAGTAGAATTTTAAGAAGTTATGGCCATCATTATTTTGGAGTGTGACCTCCTGGTATTTTAAATAGTGCATGCAGTATTTGTAGTTGTGCTCTGATACAAGGCACAGAGGATGCCATATCTAAGGAACTTAAAAGAAAAGACAAATATTTAAGTATTCATTAAAAAAAGAAAAAAATTTATAAAGGCAGCAAGAATGTATCTGCTGCTAGGGTGGGGCTATAGATGTTTTTATATTTTTGTTTTATTTATGTTGTAGAACGATGCCACCTAACACAGAGATAGTCGGATTTGTTACGTAAAATCGTCACCTTTTTGCTTTCCTGGAGTGATTCATACTGTGTAATCATAACCAGTGGGAGTGCTTTGTGCAGGTGTCATTTTGCTTGTGTTTGGATTCAGGCAGAACTGGTGATGGGCATGGTCATCCTGGTATTTCCTACTGAATAGATGGAGATCCGTTTGGTTGCTGTACTGACTGCTCTATAGGCATTACTAGAAGACTGGGAAAAGGGCAGCTTGGGTCCTTCACTAATGCTAATGTGCTGTTTGGGGCAGGCCAAGAAGGTAGACGTTTTTTTCCTTCTTGGGCATCAATTCTCGAAAAACATTGTTGGGCAGACTAGTTCAACTTCTAAATTGAATGGGACCACTAAATTTGAATGGACAGTTCGAAATCTATCTTGCTATAGTGAATGGCCTAGTGAATGACGACCTGTTTTAAATATTGAAGGATTAAACCATGTGGGGCATTGGTAAAAAAAAAACCAGTAACTTCCTAGGTAATGTGGTGTCAGTTATGGTAACCCTGCAGGTTCATGGGTCATTCAATACTTTGATTTACCCTTCTGTGTAGGAGGGTCAATTGCTCACCCCTGGAGGGTTGGGTGCTATTACGTTTGAATGAATAAGTCAGTGTACCACATTTTGTGCGCAGCATCCCTACAGGTGAAACCAGCTTATAGAAAAAAGGTGTAGTGGCTTCAGTCTAAGTGTAGGGGGATTTTTCTAAACTTTTTGTATTAGGCTATTGCAAATATGTGATTTAGAAAGTATTTCAACTTAAACCTTTTACACATCCATCTCCTGTGATGGAACTCATTTATTAAATGAAACATATGCACGATTTTACATCAGCTTTGCTACCAAAAGTTTGATGCATGTGTTGATCTAATAAATAAATTGCATCACTGGTATGCATATAATAGGAGTTTAAGCTTCTATTGTTGATGTTCACCTGTCATCTTAAAGCAAGAAACCATAAATTTACATGTGTAATATTGGGTAAGTCATTCCTACCCATAACAGCCAATCAGATTTAAGATGCCTTCTCTCAAACTCCTAAGGTGATAAAATGAAGAAAGGGTCACCTCTGGAGTCTGACAGTGAAGCACCATGCAAGTGAGCGTGTACTGAAAAGCACTGCACCAGACATGGCAGCCGCAGCTTCCAATATCCTTAAAATGTCTGCCTGTATTGTCTTTTACATGCAGCTCTATCCTGTGTTTTATCAAAGGCATGCCTGAGCACATCCTTCAGAATGACTAACTCACTGTAGTTTAACTCAACTCTGCTATATGTTTCTTTCAGATTCATTGCACTGCTAAGTTTAACAGACATTTATTTTCTTTGAAGAAAGGTCCTTCCATCTATGTAAAAAAAATAAAAAATAAAAGTCCCAGGCTGATTTGTTTAAAATTGTTTTCCTGATTTGCTTTATATTTTATTGTATGTCTTGTGTTTTTACTGTGTTTCAGTGTTTGTATATAGTTATTGACATTTCAAAATGAAGAGAAATTCAAAATATTAATCAAAATAAAGCTTCAGGCCTTTGTTGTAAACACTTGTCCTAATTATTTTGCCCTCCCGATGTTACCTTTTCCCTAAATCAAAAACTAAAATGTTAAGAGTCCAGTTTACCAGTCCTTTGAATGTGGTGGGTTGCATGAGTTTCACTTTAAAACATTTTTTTTAGGTTTTTTCCCCCACTTGGTGATCCTGCCAGTAACACACTTACTGTGCTAGAATGACCATGCTCACTCTTTGCACTGCGTTTATGGAGGAACAGCGTTGTCACCCTAGACTGCACTCCGGATTTGCACTACAGACACCCCTCCTCCATTACTTAGGGAGGTGTTATTAAATTCACAGAAGACAGCTGTGAAAACAGATACGATTGTTTGATTTAAATGCACAGGAATTTGCAAGGATGCTGCAATTTTTGCAAGGTACACTGGTGTTTTTCTGTACTTGCAGCTTTATATATAATACATTTTTTTGTTCTTGCTCTTATTTTAATGCTTCCCACAGAGAGAGACTAGAGTTTGACAGTTCAATAATGATTGTTTAGTGTGTTGCTGATAACGAGGAAGCCTCCCACTGAGTACATAATTAAAGTGGACCTTTGCCCCCTTTCACTAAAAATAACAGCATGCAGCTCGATATGCATGCTGATATGAAAAACATCTTACATTAATTAAACATATTTTTCTTTTACTTACAATTACTGTTTTTCCACTTCCTGGTCCTCTTAGGCATTAGTGATGTAATCTGTGCCCAAACATTGCATCAGCAGTGCATTGCTGGGTAATCTCATGAGATCTCAGGGAAGTTATTTTCCTCCCCTGAGATGATCTGCAAGGTCACATGTCCTAGTCACATGTGCCAGAGTTCTAGGAAATAAAGGGAGATGGATTCATTTGCGTAGTGAAAATGGTCACTGTGAGAAAATTGGGGAGGAAAAGAAAAATAAGGTATGCAAAAGAATGAAAATCCAGCAATTATCTAGGAGTATCCGTAGATTGTCATTACTACGCATTTCTAAACGTGTATTTGTTGTAATTTCGAAGATATGGGTAAAGTTCCTCTTTAACATGGGAGCTTCAGCCAAAACTTTCTTGTTTAGTTTTGAGTAGAGTTGGGAAAAGTTGGCTCCCCCGTCAGGTTTTACTGCAGTCTGTGTCCCTATTGAGGCGATTTTAGTCTTTCTCCGATCTAATCTCTCTGATAACTGTCAAACAAGTTGACTGACATAAACTCACAGAAGACCACTACAAAATCCGGCATTCGTGTTGCGGCAAACCACAGCTGGCTGCACATGGACTTAGTTTCTCCATGTTCCTACCTTCATGCAAAATAAAATGGTAGATTAAATAGAGTAGGGCTGCATAAAGACTGGTTGCTGTTTACATACGGTACATTAACATTACTAATCAAAATAGACACTGGAAAAAATGACTGGAGATAATCAAGACGTCTGTATAAAACCAAGCCTGTAATAAACCTAGGCAAATCTTATGTAGTCCTTCAAAACCATTGATTTGTATTTTTCTGTGTAACAGTTACATGTATTGAATCTGTCTTGGGCTAAACATCCTGTGATCTCTTGCACAGCAAGACTGGAAGGAAAAGGGCCATGACTCTAAGCTGTTCGGTCTCTGCTAGATTTAAGCAGATTCTAAGCATTCTGTACTAGAGATTTATATTGGCCTGTCAGATTCTATTTGAGAATGTGACGGGCAAGGGCAACACTCAGTAAAATAGTATTGAAAGTATGCAATACTATTATAATAAAATTGTCAGAAATTGCTCTGACTGCATTTACCTGACCTCACATTTTAAGGGGAAAAGGCAAAGGCCAAGTGATCTATACCAGGCTGGACCTAAATGTGTAGAAGGGTGTTGTTGTTTTTTTTTACATTTTGATTAGTATATGTTAAAAATTGAAATAATTTAAATTACATCTCATAATCGTTGTGCTATGGAATAAAATAGACAAAACTATTATAGATAACAAATTGTATTCTTCAGAAGAAATATTGAAAATAGGATTGCAAATATTTATCTTAATATTCTGTTATCAATATTAGGCAAACAATATAAAGTAAAACCAGTGCAGCAAACTAACGAGGAATAGCACAGACTTGGTAAGGGTGAGGCTGCAGGGTGAGATTGTAGATATATTTTGTGTTGGCCTCCGTTACGCCTTCTGGGAGATGAAATTGGTATGATCTCATGAGAGTGGTGAAGAAGATAAATAGCTCATAGCGGGCAAGCTGCTCTCCAAGACATACCCGGGCACCTATAAGCGGAGAACAAGGATGTGTATCAGACAAAATCCTAAATGTATAATGACAACACAACTTGCATGATTAGTGACATTTAATAACGAAGACTAGCCATGGATGTAGGATGACTGTTGTCTGTTCCAGCTTGGGCAACAATCTTATGTTAATGGGGAGCCCCTAACCCTCTCTGGTCAGATATTGTAATGTAAGGGAAGCATTCATTAGGCAGAATCTGGCAAAAATCTCCTCCTCTATCCACTCGCACAAACAGGAGAGCTCTTCTGAACAATTCTGCTCTGATCTACTGAGGCAACCTGACACCTCTTAGAGACTTAGACAGTGGGATCAGCAATCGAGTATGTACTCTAAAGGTGCCCATACACTGTATGATTATCGTACGTGAATCGCGGGAAATCCCGCGATCGTACGATAATCGCAAAGTGTATGGAAGGCGTGCAACCGTTTCTACTGTAGGGTCGAACGTCTTCCGTAGAACAAGCACGCTTGAAAACCCGCTGAGAATCGTACGATTCTCGACGGGTTAGTGGCGTGCTTGTTCGACAACTGCCGAACAGGCCGGTGTGCGCACGCCCGTTCAGCATTGCAGTCATCGGGAGGCCCGCCCCTCAGGGGGGCGGGCTTGCGATCATCGCAAGTACGATCTGTGTGTCCAAGATAGGCAGATCGTACGTTTTTTAAAATTACTTTACATCCCTCGCAAGACAAAGGTCTTGCGAGGGTTGTAAAGTGTATGGCCACCTTATGGCTGATCCCACTGTCTTAAAAACTGTTAGGTTGTGAAAGCATTTCTGACCACTCTGGCAAGTTTACAGGCAGGCTACTTGAAAAAGCTATATGATCTGAAAGGCTAAATATGCAAGGCTGTACTTAAAAGGTCACGAGCACTCATGTCTTTCTTACAATATATCCATTTGTATGGTAAGTGTTAGCATGCATTGTGGTGTGCTGTATGAGAAAACAAAATGGTGCATGTCGGATTTGGGGGGTTGGGATTTTTCCATTTTGTGGTGTTGGCAGCCCATTAATTTGAATAGACTGCCTTAACACAACACATGTTACCATCAACATAGTGCACATTATGGTGTGCATTAGCGCAATGCACTGGAAGGGACAGGTGTGAATCCTTATCTTCCCCATCTCCATGTAACTGGACAGTGAAAGTAGAAGCTCTTTCTGTTTGAACTGCAGCTCCTTGTGCTACTTTTCATTCTTTATTTGGAGCTTTGTTGTATGTTTATAGCAAGAGGCTAATACCAATTCAAATTAAAGTACATTTCATTATGTATTCACAAATTCAGAGCTACATTAGGTTTTTCTTATATGGGCCGGGAGTTCAGCTTTAACAGAGCTGTGTAATGTCCCTCCTAAACAGGGGCATAACTACAAGTCACAGGGTCTCATAGCAAAAATGTAATGTGGGCCCCCCTGTGAAGCTCTCGCTGAGCTGTAATTAATGACACCAAGATCCCAAAGACTCAACTTGTGCATTTGACATCAACTTTCCTACACTGTAGACTTTACAGAGGATTAGGGTTGTCATCAAATGCAACCAGTCCAACCCTTATTGATACAGTACAGTGTTATCTTTACTTGTTCCATGTTTAGTTTTCCTCAACAACCTAATGGGGCCCCCTTCCACCTCCAGGCCCCATAGCAGCCGCCTGGGCTGCTATGGCTATAGTTACACCACTGCTCCTAAATTACTATGCAAATGTTTATTAGTTAAACAAGAATTCTGTGCAGTGTTGATGCTAGGCTTACACATGTCCTACAACATAGTAATTTAAATCAATATGCTGTAATTACTGTACCTCCAGAGAAAGGTAAAAAAGCTTCATTAATTAAAAAGTCCCCTTTTTCATCCAAGAAATTATTTGGGTTGAATTGATCAGGTGTCTTCCAGCACTGGGGATCAAAAAGCACAGAGTCCAAATTGGCCAGCACCATTGTATCCTGACATAGTAAATGTTGGAAGAACAATGTGTATGTCAGCATAAAGTACCAAAAAAGTATATGCAGTATATATAAAATGATTTGTCATTATGGCAGCTAATCGGAAATAAGCTTTTACTCATGCACTGCCTTACAAAAATGCCGCATTAGACTCAAGAGTTACCTGGTTGGCAAAGAAACTTATGTAAAAAATAGGTAAGTTTACTTTGTTCAACAGTCGGTAAAGCGCAACTCCTGGTAGATAGCAGAACAGTAACTTAAAGGCTAAGTTTACCTTTCTGACCATGTTTCATGTTACATCCATGACGCCCAGGGTGTAACATGAAACATGGTCACATAAGTCTTTTCCCACCCACCCCCACTTACCTGAATTGCGAGGTTCATCTCTCCACAGGCTGCTGCTATTTTTGGAATCTGCCATGGGTGTGTGGTTCTGCCCACACAGCCAGTCACAATGGTGACATGATCCGTACTGCTCCGGTCAGGAGGGGATCCGTGCACGGCCTGTCTGAAAAGGGCCTTGGAGAGGTTCACCTTCTTGTCCTGGAGACAACCTTTACAGCAGAGAGGAGGTGAAAGAATTTCTCCAATAGAACCTGCCATGGCAGTTAAACCTCATAGGAGTTTTAATGCCTCCCTACTCTATCCTAAACTAAAAATAAACTTTAACTGGGTGAATGTATTTAATTCATAGATTGACCTCAATAAATAATGATTCACTCTGATCAAAACAAAAATGTTCTCACCTTCTTTAGAGAGAATGCATAGACCTTAACTTCTTTAACACATGTCCGTGGAATGCCTACTGCTGCAATGTTGGCAAACCGCTGGACCTCATGGATTACAGCGTTGGTGTATGGAAGCCTCTTGCGGTCTTCATAGCAAACTACTTTGGATCCATCAAGAACAGCATCAAGTTCTTCATGTATGTTCTCTGTAATAGATGATAGAGAACTAAGAAAATGTATTTTGACTAGTAGTAATCAACTTGTTCTAGTCTATTAGCCTGGTACACACCAGCAACTTTAGAGAATTGCACTTGAAGTAGAAGCAAACAGTCTGTAATTCAATTCAGTTGTAGTAATGATTTACGTGCCCCTGACACACTACACAAGCAGGAAGAGGACTTCACAACTTCCTGGTTCACTTTTCACCCCCACTTAACTGAATTATGGGGTTCTTCCCCATGCAGTGGCGCGAGGGGAAGGGCTAATAGGCAAATTGTATATAATGAGCTGATGGACACTGACATCTGCACTAGATAGTGATGTTACCCTCTCCTTGGCACCACAGGGGGAGTCTGTCCTTCACATAAGTGCTCCCCCTTTCACATTAAAGTCCCTCCCTTCCTTTTAGGAGCCACCCTTCTCATCAGAGCCCCCTTCACATCACAGTCATCTCTTCACATCAGAGTACCCCACTCTACATAAGAGTCGCCCCCTTTTACATCAGGAGCCTCCTTTCACATCAGAGTCCCTCACTTCACATCAGAGTCCCCCTTCACATCAGGTGCCACCTTTCACATCAAAGTCCCTCACTCATATCAGAAGTCCCCTTCACATGAGTCCCCCCTTAGTTCTCAGTACCCATTCACATTAGAATCCTTTAAGTAGTCCTTTACCTTCTGGCTGCATTTTTTTTTTGGACACAACTGCTAGACTTCCTCTTTAATAAGGTATGAAGAAAAACAGCAATGCCTTGTGATAAAATTGAAGCAACAATATTTCCTAGCACTTATCTGTGGACTCTCCCCCTTATTACCTTGACTAATTTCTTGAAAAATTGCTGAGTAAGCAGACCAAATACCAGCTGAGCACCTCAAAATATACATTGGTTAATAATTTTTACAAGGCACAGGTTTATCTCCACTGCTCACTAAGTACAAATTAATTATTTTGCTTTCCTGTCCTACTTACGTTGTATATGAGGATAAGCCACCATGTAAAGCAGAGCCCATTGCAGGGTGGTGGTTGTAGTTTCTGTTCCAGCAAGAAAAAGATCTATGACCATTGAAATCAGATTTTTCTCATCAAATGTAGAGTCTACCTCTGTTTTTCTCTATAAATGATGGAAAAAATATGTCAATATGACATTTTACAAAGTAAACATGGGGCATAAAAAAAGCATATTTTTTAGGATAAAGTAGAAAATATGTTCATTTCAGCACCATGGTTTTTGGCCTTTGAGTTATGCATAACTTTACTGCCCATTCAGACAATATTTTAGTTAGACATTTGTTATTTGGTCAAATGTACAACCTCACGTAAATTCATCATGGGGTAGACAGAATGTAAGTTGATCATGAAGTGCAGGGTAATAGTCTATGAGGGAAGATAGGAGAGTCTAAATAAAAGCTGAACGTGGACTTGGGGAGGTAGATAGAGAAGGCAGAAAGGAAGCTGCTAATAGACCAGAGGGAGGAGCCGTGAGGTAGCAGAGTGAAAGTTGCACAGGGCTAGTAGTGATGGGCAAATCTTCCCAGGTTTGATTGACCAGTGGTTCAGTGAATCTTGTTTGAAATTTGGCAAACGCAAACTTAGAGGCGAATCCAATTGAAGTCTACGGGGGATACATCTTGTTGAAAAAATGCATGGAAACCGGGGAACTACCATGGGGACATGTGCCAATGCAGAAAACAAAGGCTTAAATACTGGACACTAAAAAAATACACAAATCCTTTAAATAACATGTTTGGGATATGCCTTATTATGGACTCCCATGCTGGACTGGATGCTGCTGACTGAAAGATCTATGTGTTGGATCCAGATCTTATACAAGTGACCTGGCCGTGGCATGCAGACTGCTACTGGGCTGACTACCTCTGCCCTGGTGTGTGGTGTCCCCGAGTGGGAAAATTGTGAGTCGCCACTTTGATTTGTCAGAGACAAGAGACAATGGAACCTATAAGCAGTGACAAGGTAGCAGCCACTGGGATTATAATTGAGGTACTATACAAATCTCAAAACTTTTGTAGGATCAGAGAATGTGTGATGCTGAATGCAGCAGGTGGAATTGTAGAGAGAGATCAGGATGAAGAGCAAAGTGAACAGGAAAAGACAACCTCTGGGCATAGTGCAGACAATTGAAGGACATGATGCTACTGCGGGCCATGAAAGGCTAGCTGCCAGATAATTTTCCTTCAAGAGAAAAGTTTTGGTTGCTGGGTGGAGGAAGTCATTTTGCAGGGGTAGTCCTGATAGTTAAGCCCGTGACACAGGCAATGCAAAGCCGTGCAGAGCAAAGCAAAGCTCCCAGGCACGGAGCTTCGCATGCAGTATGTGAGCCGAGTGCAGCCAGATGAATGACTGCATGTTCAGCCAACTGGACAGACCTGGCATCGTGACATGCGGGTTTATATGCGCGAGCCGATTGGCTGAAGATGAAATTTTTCATCTCAGCACGCTCAGCTATGCGAGCTCTTGCAAGCTGATGTGCCGGAGAGAAAATTACATGGCACACTGCACCTGAAGGCAGCATGCCACCGCTCCGCGCTGCTTCACGTGCAGTGTGTCACAGCCTTTATTTCTGCTGAATCTTGGCCCACCATGTGATTTTTCAGCGGAGTGTTTGTTCAGCTGAGTTCCCCTGTCCAGGGGGGAACATGGATAAAAGGACCGTGTTCCCCCAGGGATTTCATGTGCCTTGGGATATGAAATGAATCTCTTGAGGATAAGGACTGCCATGTTATGCAAGATGAAAAAAAACCAACGTTGATGTACCAAAGTTTCTGTTCCTGTTGAATGTGTTACTAATCTGTGGATTAAGTCATTGTTGTTTACATGGAAAAATTATTAGTAAAGTTCAGGAGCAAGAAGAGAAATGCGTGTGTCCTTTGAATCCAGCTGCTATAAAAGAATGTGTGCAGGTGTGATGTGTAGTGAGTGCGGTTGGGAGATGGAAGTGGACCAGAACCATAGTATGCAGTAGCCATACCAAAGTGGCAACACTGAGAAATGGCAGTATTCTTCTCAGGTCCAGAGTCTGCATGAGGAGCTTCACTGTGATAATATCTTGGGAAGTGAATATGCTGAAGCAGATATGTCTGTTATTCTTCTATCATTTGACCTAAGGACATCTGTGTTCGACCTTAAAAGGCCTCCTGCCACTGAAGAGAGGGTCCTCACAAATTGTGGTTTGCCTGTGTGTGTAGCCACCTTGCCCTAAGTGGGGTGACTACTTAAATTTAGTTTGCTAGGACTGCTTTCAGTCTAGCTAATTGTATAGTCTGTACTCCTTTGGCTTTCCCCAAGGATTCTGTTACTGATTGCATCTGCCTGCTGCTGGGTGTAACTTTGCAACACAACAGAGCAACCAATATGGAATGCTATGTTATGGATGTCTATGTCTCTCCAGCCAATCACTAGGAGTTTCATGGCCAGTGATGGGCCAGGATGGGCTTGGACATCAGAGAGAAGTCTGGTGTCTTACCCATAGGAGATCTCAAAATGTCTGCCAACCAGCTCCAGTTCTCTAACACAGTGTCGCTGCATTTTCGGCTTTAAGGCTCTATCACTGTGAAGCTGGAAAGCATTTGGTGAGTCTGGAGTTCTGTTTGATCCAAGATGTCTGCAGTCCTAACCCTCTCTCCCTGTTTTGCTGTTCATGGAATAAAGCATTATAAAATCCATAAAGTGACTGGCCCCCAATTTGCATATCCCACATTCAGGCTAAGGACTCATCCCTGAGGTGAAATGTCAGCCCCTCCTGCCCCCTAGTCACGGGGGCAGTACTGTACATGTGTTATGCATTTTGTTATGTCCAACTCTCTACAATTCTGTGAGCCAGCTGTCTCCACATGTTTTGATGTTGTACTGCTTCTTTTATGTATTCCATGTTCTGGCTGGTGTTGGCTTTTATAGCATCTAACCATTCTTTTGCAGCCTGGCTTCCTTTTGTCACTTATCAATCAGAGCATCATTGCCTTTTCCAGTGATCTTGAACGCATGACATGTCAGAAATAGGTAAGCCCCAGTTTTGTAATTTTGTGGTTCATTTTCTAATGCACTATAAATATAGTCTTCAAAAAGTGTATGTTTACTTAGCTGAGTGAAAAGGTGAAGCTCTGTTCACTTTGGTCATTCAATCACGTGCAAGCAAAAATTCCTGTATTTTTAATTTCCCTTCCACTCGACTGGGTATTCAAAGTGAACACAGCTTCACTTCATTTACTAAGCTAAGTGAACAAAGAAAATGTACACATTCCAAAAGAAACAATCAGCATTTTCCGTGAGAAGCTGACTTGGGGGTCTAGTCTGGGCTCTGCTGTATGTACTGATCGTTCTTATATTGATGACAACTTTTACTTTTTCAATCTGGTCCAGATAATAGTCAATGACATCTTGAGGCTCCTCCAGCAATCCATTCTCCTTATGGGTCCGAATCTCTTTCTTCGTGAACTGTCTCAGAAATTTAATTTTTGTAAAAGCAGTCTGATGTGGACCTGGCACATGTTTCATTAGCCAAGGAAGAATATCATACATCTAAGTGGAAAACATAGAGGATACAGTTTGTTAGCTGTACTGAAAGAAAAGCCTTAAATGGTAGCTTCATGCAATAGATGAATTATACTCACCTTCCTGGCGGCATGTGTCTCCTACCTTTACTTCATTCCAGCACTGAAGCATCTATCAGACTGTTTAGCATTCAACACTTCTGGGAGTATCAAATGCCTATGTCCCCTGCCATGTGTGGGTCCATCCTCCAACCACTACGCCACTGTTGTGACCTGTACTGAGGTAGTATCGGAGAGAGTATGGTGCACTCCAACCAGTTTATCTACCTTCCACATGAGCGGTTCAGTGATCCACATCGGATTGTACCCTTCTTCTTCTGTACTGGTGGGGACACACATATTGAACACTCCCAGAAGTGTTGAATGCTAAAGAGTCTGGCAGAGGCTGACAGATATGTGAGTATGATAGCTCTTCTCTTGCAGGTGTCTGCTGTTTAGGATTTTTTTAGGCTGGGTTCACACCTAGGCATATCGGATATGCGAATTTGTCGCGCGTTTCGTGTTGCGCGATTTGTGGTAAAAAAACGCGCGACAAACGCGCATTTACGAGGGCTACTTGGCTGTATCCCAATGGAAACGCGCGACAAAAACGCCCCAAAGAAGCTCCTGTACTTCTTTGGGCGTAGGACGTTTTGTAGCGCGTTCATACGGCCTGTAATACGCCCAGGTGTGAACCATACCCATAGGAAATAATGGGATTTCGGTGTTTGAGCGTTTTACAGAGCGTAGGAACGCGCTACAAAACGCCCAGGTGTGAACTGGGCCTTAAAGATTGAAAGAGTCACTTCAATGCAGATATGCATTTCTTTACAAATATTTAAATATTTTTATGTACAACTAGCGCTAATAATTGACTATGCCTTGCTATCATCTGTTATCCATTGCACAATTATACTAAGACTTGGAAAGGGGAGGGGGGGTACTTTAGGTTTTACTGCATGCATGTGCTAACAGGTAATATGCTGACAATATGCTCACAGGAGCAGATCAGGTGCCATATCAGTGTGTTGCTCCTCCTTTATTGTGCAGCCAGCAGGCTGTGACCAGAGAAGTGACACCACTGTATTTCTTAACTGTAATAGAGAAAGTAGTTCCACCATCCTGGCTGTGCTATCAGGCAGGGGTATATTAATTACAATAGTGGCTGTTTAGAGTTATATTTCTTTGGCAGATAAAACAGTTCTCAGATGTGAGTTTTGGCTTTAAAGTGCATCTCAACCCCAAAACAAAAATGTAATATATCATTATTATTGTTATACGGGATTTATATAGTGCCAACAGTTTGGACAACGCTTTACAATATGAAAAAAGACATTAGTTACAATACAAGGACTAGATGGTTAGGAGGACCCTGCCCATTTTGCAGTTTACCAATCCTTAGATTCAGGTTATGCATTATATTTATTCATTGGACTTCATTTTCTATATTTCTACCTGGTGATCTTGCTAGTAACATGTTTTCTGTCCTAGGGTGGCACACTGACTCACCATACAGTATCTGGAAGAGTAGCGTTGTCAGCCTAGGCTGCTCTACTGATTTGGATTACAAACATCTCACCCTCTCATTATCTTTACATAGGAAGAAGGTGTCCTATGGTTCACAGAAGATAGCTGGGAAGACTTGAGTTTGATTTGTTGAAATTTCAGTTCACTATACAGGAGGTTACAAGGACACAACATAATTGGCAGAATTAACAGGTGCAGCCACTACATCTAAGGACTGCTAAATTGCAATATATTACATTTTCAATCTTGGGTTGTAATATACTTTAAGCACTACCAGACCCTGATACCCATAGCCATGTCATCAGTGTCCATATAAAATCAGCCATTTTTCTGCTTTAAATATTTATATACTTAAAAAGATACTGTCGCCAACTTTACAAAAAAAGCATGTATAATTACAGAAAAAATCAAGTATTTGAATTGCTTACTTGCCGTGTTTTATTTTTATATGATTTTGTATTCACTTTCAATGTGCCTTTAAACTTACTAGAAAAACTCACAGGCAAATTCCCAAGCACAGCCCCCTCCCTCCTTGTATGTCATAGCCCTCTCCTCTTTTAGGAGGGTCTAATTACTATTTGTGTTGACCCAGCTCCTTTACCCCTGCCTTCACTTTGCTACATAACCTTTCATGTAGCTGCCAGGTAAGGCGTGAAGGGGAATGCTAATAGTGTGCCACTTTAGTGACAGCTGGGGCTGCTGACACCACATCCAAGATGGTGATGCCTAGTAGCAGTCCCAGGGCTGTTGGATGTCTAGACAAAGGAGGCTTTTGTAGGTAAATAACATGCATGAAATATGTTAAATGCACATATAAGCTTACGAGAAGATTTTTGTTGAATCAAATGGTCTGGGAACAAGATTGCTTTAAGTGCAAAATACCCACAATAAACATCTTTTTCAATGCAGCAGCTATATAGGCTAAGTTTGTTTTTTTCTTTGCATTAAATTATACATTATATTGAAGAACATAGGTGCTCAAACGTTTAAAAGAAGATACACATGCATTTAGAGCTCAGCAAGGAAAATGCATGTACACGTTAATGCAGTGTGAACTCTCCTCTATACGGAATTGTCAATCAAGCCAAAATTACGATGACAATACCTTTGCCCAAGGCGAGGCTCCACCTTCCAAAAGACCATGATTGCTTTTGATCAGTTCTTGATATGTTGCATCATCAATAGAGAAACGATGTCCAAAAACCACAGCAGCTATTACATTTGCAACAGTAGCAGTAATAATATTAAAGGGATCAAATGGGGCTCCTAGGAAAAAATGTAGAGTACTTTAAATATGTTATGCATATTAGAAGTAACATTTTGTTATGCTAACTGTAAATTTTCTGTTCTTGAAAGAACATCAACTCCTTATTTTTTTTGTCTCCATAGTATACTATTAATCTTACCTTTACTAACAGGGCTATTCACAATAGGGTGAGGAGTTTGGATAAGGCAGGAGAAGTGAACAATCTAGGACAACATAGCTGAACTGGAAAAATTCTCCAATTCAGCTCACTTTCCAGTTCAGCTATGTTGTCCTAGATTGTTCACGTCTCCTGCCTTCTCCAAACTCTTCACCCTTTTGTGAATAACCCTGTAACTTTCTGTGTTCACCAGAAATCAATAGTCAACTTCACATTGTTCTGTAGTAGACAATGGTGAAAAGCAAACCTGTACTCCATTTTAGATTTTAAAAGTAAACAACTAAGAGCAGGCACAAGGCGATACCTCCTATTACCTTTATTGGCTGAAAAAAACCCCTGCTCTGTGCTGTGCCCCTCTCTGATTTGATTTCACTTTGTTACTGGGGCCCTGACACAAGTTCCATCAACTGCACCTCCACCAATTGCATTGTCCAGTGAGAGTGCTGCCGTACCCTTACCCATACTGTCTGCTAAGGAACTCTCTGGGAATATTCATGAATTACTTGTAAAATACTGGTGCAGTGTGGAGGGAACTCTGTGGTGTGCAGTGGAGGGCAAATAGCTATATCTGCTCTTCATTTTAAATAGATGGGCCTCTTGCTTTAATCAGTGTTTTTCCACATAAAAAAATTGCCATTAAAGCCCAATTAAAACATCTTAATTTATCAATGTAAAGCAGTCAGTTTGCATATGCAGTAAAAAATATGCCTTTTTTTTCTTCAGCAAGTGTTAAAAAAAACATGTGCTAGCAGCACTATGAGAGTTACACTGCTGCTTTTACACACAACCAGCACTCTGAGTCTCCAATGGCTCAAAATGCTCCCTGAGCAGGCTGTTGGTAATAGCAGTGTTCAAGGGGGGGCATGTCGGAGAACTGGGCTTCTGCTTGTGTTTGAGAACAGTGATCCGACTCTCCTAGTGTTCCCAGCACAGGATTCTTAGCACTTGCTGCACAGCACTTAAGTGGTTAAAAAGAGGAACTTTTATTACTGTATATGCAGCCTGAACTAAATAAATAATAAATAAACAGGTTCAATTGGACTTGATATTAAAAATGTCCAAAGAAGAAATTAGTTCATGCAACATTCAGCAGTATGCAACCTCACACTGTTCCATTGGGTTTCCACCCTTGTCAGGGAAATGATTATGTCCCAGGATCCACAGTATGCTTGTTTCTGACTGGCTGAACATTGCATTTAGGATTCAATGAGCCAATCGATGAGTATCAATGACCCTTTCCCTAACCATTAGAAAGTCAGACTGGAGTTAGAGCTCCTGGCCTCTATACTTATTCCAGATCAATGACTCAGAGTATTATAACCATCAGCATTATAGAGAATTAGCATTCATGCCAGGTTTACACCATTTTCTGGACCAGATCTGGAATGCTGTGCATTGCGTTTTGCCGCATTTTTATCATGATTGTACCGCCACTTTACTGCGATTGTGCCTCGTTCCAGAGCATTTTTTGTAGCCTAAAATGGGCTTTCAGGTGCGGTACAGTGCATTCCAGAGCGTTTGCATGCAGCTGTGATGCATTTCCATGCGTTCCAGTGCATTCCAGACCAGAGAAAATGAGACAAGCAGTATTTTCTTTGTCTGGACTGGAACAGACTGCACTGATGTGAACAGAAATACCATAGGGATACATTTGGATGCTTGTTTGGTCAGGGAACAAACTGTTCTGGTCTGGACATGATCTGGACATGGTGTGAACAAGCCCTAAGAGAAGAAGGCAGCATTGGTGGCCTCCATATTCTTCCCATACAAATTTCAATTAACCCTTGATGTATGAGAGAATTTGAGAGATTTAATTTCCCTGAAATTTTGACATAAATCAGGAGATTTCAGGGAAATGTAATCCTTTTAGTGAAATACTTTGGAATCAACAGAGAAAGAAACAATACTTTAAATGGCTCCTGAGGGTCATTATAGTTTTTTTTAACTATCCCGTAACTTGTTCTTGTGCTTAAACATAACCCCTCATTGCTTCATTCGTTTACTTTTTTCACAGAAAGAAAAAACACACAGTGAAAAAAATAACAATACATGTTTTTTAAACAAAAGTACACAAATAATGATCAAATGCACCAAACATGGGAAATGATGAGATTCTGCTTTAGCGAAATCTGTAATTTCATGGCAATCATTCTTCTTATCGCTATTTACCACCTTTACACTTATTTTCCATTCTACTCAAGCATGCCTTTGCTAGTATTTGCACTGTTTTCATTGTTTTGCCGGTGGTGTAGGCGGGGGTATACACAGGAATGAAAGTGGAGACATATTACCAGTCACAGCTAATGTAAAAAACAAATATTGATTTACTGACCTTTGTAGGCCCTAAAAGACTCTACTATGTACTGAGCTTCATCTTGTATCCGTGACTCTAGTCCACGCTTCCCAAGTCCCAAATTTCTCAGAGTCATCAGTCCAAAGCGTCTCTGTTGTTTCCACACATGTCCATTGGACATCAAAATGCCTAACAATAAGGAATAGATTATATATTTCCAGACTCTATGTAATTTGTAATAATGATCTTAGGGGAAATGTAAAGAAATATATAAGGGACACAGAATCAAGCGCTTAGCGTATATAAGGATTGCCTACTGTTAGCATTTCATGCTTGACAGTTTGCAGTATTGTTTTGTAGTCTCCCTAGTTAGTAATTAGAAGTATTAATCAAATATGTCACTACTTTAGTTGGAGGCTTATCAATTGTTTACAAAAATATAAAAACTCTATCAGGGTTATTCACAAAAGGGTGAAGAGTTTGGAGAAGGAAGGAGAAGTGAACAACCTAGGAAAACATAGCTGATTTGGGAAAATTCTCCAATTCAGCTCACTTTTCAGTTCAGCTATGTTGTCCTAGATTGTTTACTTCTCCTGCCTTCCCCAAACTCTTCACCCTTTTGTGAATAACCCTGTATATGTAACCATTAAAGTTAAAACTGCTGCAACTTTAATATTACTAGTTACATTTAAGTGCTTTTAAAATGTATTTGACTTTTACATTGTTACCTGGCCTTACATTTGCAACTTGATTTAATTATGTTCACATTATTAAAAGCGAATCTCAATTTGTACATAACCCAGACTGATCCGCTCGGCCAAGTTCGGGAGCTGTACGGGCTATAGTGAATAGCGCGTACAGCAGCCCTAAAGGTGTCCTTTCTAAAATACCACCTACTATGGCAGTCTGTGCACTCCGCTATTAATAAATTGTCATGGGCTCATGCCTGCAGTCTACCCATTCTTTCATTTGTAGGTCCTAGAAATCCTTTTTTGTTTTTACATATGTCTTAATCATTCATTAACGGACACTGGGTAAGAAAGAATTCTGAGACAAACGGGTTATATTGTTGCCTACTGGAGACTGGGACATTCACAAACGAAAAGCTGTTAGTCAGTCATGTTTAACCCCTCTCATGTCCATAATTTTTTAGTTTTTATGCTCCTCGGAGAACATTTTCTAACATGTTTTAGTTTTTCTCAAGATATTCTTTGTTCTGCTTTTGCTGCAGAGCCATGAATGCTCATTTCACAGTTTTCTAGAACAGCTGATGCTTGGCATTGCCTGGGAGGCTTTTCCTTTACTTCAACATGAAGAAGATGTAAGACCTGCCTGTAATTTGACCTTTGGACACTGGGCTCTGCTTGTGGCATTCTCTGGACACTTGGGGGTCTATTCACTAAGCTGCCGTGGGCAGCCGAGTGAATGTCCGACGCTGTTCGGCTATTCACTTCAGGCTGGTACCGCTGATTTCAGCCGTATATCGGCTGAAATCAGCCGTACATCGGGTGGCTTTGCGTGGCTTCGGGTCGGCCGAACATGCTCAGCATGTTTGGCCGACCCGAAGTGCAGAAGGAGTTCAACTCAGCCGATCCAATATCTGGATCGGCTAAGCCGAACCTCCAACATGCTACTCGCTGCTGTTCGGTCTATTCTTATAGATGCCGAACAGCAGTGAGTGAATAGCCGAATGCCGCTGAGCGAACCATTTTTGTGGAGCATTGCGTTTGACTGAAACACTTTTTAAAATGTGTCCAATATGCACTTATGCCCTAGCACAGGGGTCAGCAACCTTTTACACACCGAGTGCCATTTTTGCAACCATCAGACAACCGAGTGCCATTGAACAATAGTGCACCATGGTATTAGCAAATTTCAGTTTTTGTACTCATAGTTGTACTGCTAATAATAAGTTAAACTCACTAATTATTTGAATGTGTTTATCTTGCCGTTAGCAGCACAACTGTAAGTGAAAACATTTTATAACTATTGCACACACAAAATATATTTACATGTACTAAAAAAGTAGAGGCCGGGCCTCGGTGGCCTTGTGGGAAATCCGGGCCTGCGTGCCAGCCGGGCACGCGTGCCGGGGGTTGCCGACCCCTGCCCTAGCATATGTTACTCTCTTGCTACATTCTTCTATTAGGTTAAAGCTCAGGAGTTCCCATGCTGAAGGAACAGCACTGAGACACTTTGTGCGTACATATCTGGATATGGAGCAACCTGCATCTGAATTCCCTAAAGTTAACAGCCTGGGCTCTGTGAAAAGTTCCCAACCTGTCAAAACCTTTCCAGTTTACTTATTACTACAACCTGTCCTGTATGGTGACTGGTCTACTCATGAGAAGCTCTTTTCTCCTCCCAAATGTTTTGTTTAACAGTACTCTAGTGAAGAGGCATTTTTCAAGAAGTGGGCTGTTTCCATTGCTGATCCTGCCATCTCTTGCCTTAACAAAACAGTGACCTTCATAAGCAAATGTTTTTTCATAAGCAAATGTTTCTTACTGCAAAGAGGGAGATCTGTGACTAGACAATTCTGACATCGGTCCTCAGTTTTTCTACACTGGAAACCTCACAGTTTAGTTTTCCTGATCAACCCCCCTTATGGGTCTCCCTTTTACCCAATGCCCCATAGCAGCTGTGTGAGCTGCTATGGCTATTGTTACGCCACTGGGCCTACTGTATTAATATGCGTGTAAACACATATATTATGCCATATTCCTTTTAGTCAAAATGTGGCAAATATACTGCTTAATAGATGTAAACACACACTATATGAAAATACAGAGATAAGAACAGAAGAACAGTGCCAATGACTATAAAGGCACCCGTTTTGCATTGTGTGTACAGATTCACATTGTTTAACTTTGCCAAAAATGCTACTGTGGGAATAAGTCCTGAGCCTGAGAGAAATAAAAAAATACTGTACCTCCTCCACCTAGAAGATCCTTTAGATAGCTGGCTACAGGGCGTCCAGACAGCTCCTCAGAATGAGAGACAATACCATCTTTCACTGCTCTCCAGCCATTCAGGACCACAAGGGGAGAATCGCCAAGCCACACAGTATAGATCTTCCCATAGAGCTTAGAGAGCTATGGTTGAGGGGAGCATCAGTTATTTCTAATCCACACATAATTTATTCATTTCATATGTAAACTACATGTAAAAAGCTACAGTATATGCACTTGGAAAGGCCTCATGGCTAAATGAGGGACTGAAGTATAAAAATCATTCTAGCATGAAAATTTCTTGTTCCTCATAACAACCAGTCATAATCATTTAGGGATGCACCGATAATTTTCGAGTACCAGTGCCGATACTTGGCATTTTCATGAGAACTACCAGGGTTGCAGAAGTTGCAGCTGGGACCTAGCTCTGGCGCTCCACCACTGTCCTGAAATCATTAGTCTATATTGTTTTAGAAAAACTGTCACATGACAATAAACAGAAATGTATCAGTACTTGTACTTGTAAGTACTTGGACAAGTATCAGTACTTGTAATTGCAAAACTGGTATCGGTACATCACTTTGTTTATATTTCTAAAAACAAATTCATACATTAAAACAGGGATGTACAAATCCCAGGAGCTCCGTGTGCTCCTTACAAATGACAGCTGCCTCCTAACTTTTACATTTTTCTCTAGTCTAGTCTTGGAGCTCAAAAGTATCTGTTCTTGTACTTGTACCGAGTAGGGTACTTGGTATCGGTGCATCCCTAATAATCATTATTTCACTTTCAAAGCAAGACTGAATAAAAACAGTTTAAGCTAAATACTAGGAAACAAGAAATGTCTCATAGCTCATATTTCATACATCAGCTGTGACTCTCAGAGGGTTCAATACAAGACTCTTAGTGTATGCAGTACCCAGAAAAGTTTCCTAGCATAGAAAGACTACTGATTCAGACCTTATAATCAGATATGAAACATCTTCTTTTAAACATACTGTAGACAATAACTTAAAACAGTTTTACATGCTATTAAAGTAAAAAGGTTTTTAAGCTATTCCAGATGCTGAAATAATCACATACAATGGATGCTGTTGCTTAATGTTTAAAGTTTTAGTTTCCTGCCGAATCAGCTGGTTCAGCAAGCAGTGGCCCTTATATACAATATTCGGGTGGCTCCTTTCCCTTGCAGTCACAGCAAGGCAAGACACTTCCCTGCTCCCCATGTCTTCCTCTTCTCTGCGCCAGTAAATGAACAGCTGCTGCAGACTGCTCGGTCCCTTGTGAGCTTGTACTGGACAGGATGTTCAGGGAAGCTGAGCCGAGAGAGATGGAGCCAGCTGTTTGGAAACATGATGAATGTGAGTGCTTGGGCAAAAACTTTAAGAAATATGTTGCTGGTTGGTGTATATTTGTTTGATTTGCTATTGAAAAAAGCTTTGGGGTTTAATAGTACCCTAAGTTTAGTTAAAAAAGGTATATTGATCCAATGTAAAATGGTAAAGCTAGCCATAGAGAGTCAGATCTCTGTAATGCCAATGGCATCTACATAACCTGGCCCTCATACCAAATTGTTGAGCATCCAATCGTGCCACAGCCTCTTCAAAGTTTATTTCTTAATATGTGCACAGAGAAATGATTATTCCCTTTTCAAAGCAAAAAGGAAAACTTTAATAGGTTGGTCTAGGCAATTTTCCAGGAAACTACAAGATAATATATATGTAACAGGAGATCTAGTTTGGGGTTTCTCTACAACTGCAAGGTGTTGTGAGTGTGCAGAAAATTAGGCACAGAACAGAGTCCCTGATGTTCAGATGTCCTACCCCTGTCCTTCTGGGCTAAAACTCTGGTTCCTGGCTTTGAGCAGTGGTCGAATTAGTCAAATGTATGTAGAATGAGTGCATGTCTGTGCAGCCTACTGTGGTACCTTACGAGACCCCAAGTGAAGAGAAGTATTCTCCATGCCTGAGGTCATTAGGTCTGAAAGAGTCCCAATAAGTTGGTGGTCAAATCATAGCCCACACAGAGCAGAATGCTGGCTCATTTATATGTCCGATCGTTTAACATTAGCTGAAGCAGAGAGAGGTCCATCAGTTATAAGTCTATGTTCAATCCTCTGACAGTAACTGATGTAATTTCCCTCTGTAAGGTTAAAGTGACATTAAAGTCACACCCCGCCACCCCCCTCCCCCTGACTTGCTGCTTTAAGGACTCACCTTAAATGATGCCTCTTGATCCGATCATCTTCGTCTTTCCAGTAGTTTTCATGAGTCCCTCCAGCACTGGTGCCGGTCTCTGATATAGTGCTGACTGCTGTGTCTTCTGTGTCCCACTGTATCTGTCCGTGTGCACGCTGACGGCTGCATGCATTGACTTACACTGTGTCTCTGGCCAAAGATCTCTACTGCGCATACACCAGCCCCATGATGCTTCACAACAGCTCGAGAATCTTCAGACCTTCAGATGGGAGCGAGCGGCGGAGACACAGGTACGTTTTTACCTATTTGGTAATTTTTTAATTTGTTTGAATGTTTTTGCTTATATGTACTGCTTACTAGCAGTACATATATGCAAAAAAAAAAACCAGAAGGTTTAATCATGATTTAAGAGAACTTCTTCTGTATGCAAGTAGGGCTGTTGCTTTTTGTATTAGTTTCTTTGAATCTTGTGCCCATGTGGTAGTCTTGCCAGAATGAGCAAGGTTGTTTGTTTGCTATCTCTTCAATAAATAAGCTTTTTTCCTACTTTAACTTTCTTTCTTGGGGCTGCTGATTAATCAACCTGCTCCCCTACCCTCTTCCTACTTAAAAGTGAAACCGCCAGCCACAGCAGGTATGGATGCAAAACCCCTGCATTTCTCTTACAGGATTTGGGTATGATCTGAGGTCGAGGAGCATGAATTGGGTCTGACCTAAATTCTGATGGTGTATGAATTGGGTGTGATTTGAAGTGAAAGTACATGATTTGGGGTTGATCTGAAGTCTAAAGGTGCAGGAATTAAGGCTAATCTGAGGTTTATATGGGTTTATCTGGGTCTGATGCCTGAATTGGGTATGGGCAAAGGTGCAGAAACTAGGGCTGATTTGAGGTCTAAAGGTGCTTTTGTTCACTGGCACACCAGCTGTCCAGTGCTTGTAAATTGATATTTTAATCTGGAAAAGGTTGCTGACTCCTGGTATAGACTATAATTGTATGCAAGTGCTTATCAGGCAATATCATTCCCCCACACATTACTGGTAGAAGGTCTTCAACTGGCCAGTAAATATTAGTCTGGCAGCATACAACCCTACAGACAAAGGCACTGCCTTCAGTATCAATAAGCATTTACAAAACATCAGAAAAGTTTTGAAATCATTTTTTGATACCCTAAGTACCTCTCAGTTTATCAGAGTTGTGTTAAATACAGATTACAAAGGAAGTGCTGACTGTCATTTTAAACAAGCTTTAGGCAGGCTATAAAAAACTTGAAACTTGCTGAAGCTTTTACACATCCATGAAATCAGATTTGCATTGTTATTTGCATCTAAATTTGAAAGCATTTTAGAAGTTTTGAAACAAGACCAATATCACAAGCAGAAAACCACCATTATTGAAATATGTATCAAGAAACCAAACTCTACTTGTAGGCTTTTCAGGAAATCTATACCTACTTGTGTTAGTGTTGCTGGATGAAGCTGAAATTTCAGTCTCCACAAGTTTCCTACAAAAGGCAATGGAAATGGCCCAGGAGGGAGACTTCTGGAATTCCATAGGACTCTCAAATAGTTGATTATCAACAGAGACCCCACAAATAGAAAAAATAATTCAGAGATAGTCCACATAGCCAGGTAAATGTGAGCTACTCAAAACAGTATGAAAATAAAGAATTCTGTATGTACCTTTTGTGATGCAATTTATCTGAGCCCAGTTTATCTACTAAAGCACTGAGCTCTATAGGTTACAGCCCAGATAACTGTTATACAACTGCTGTTAATATTTAACTTCTATTTACCACTGTCACATTGCTACTTATGTTAAAGGGAAACTCTATGTCTCTCTCCCTTTGTGCTCCACCCATATACAAGCCCAATCCACAAGCCCCATCCACAGCCGAAGGCAGCTGATGGCTCAGCCGAGCCGAACCCAATGAGCAGAATCTGTGCAGTTCACATATAGCATTTGTGTCCAGTGCGGGCTCCCACATGAAAAACCGCAAGGGAAGTGCAAACGCTGAATGGAGACTAAAAGGTTAAAAACCTTCCCATTTACAGCTCATAAAAAAAAGTCATTAAATTCACTGATCAGCATCAGGGCTCCTGATCCCCAGGCCAATCTGAGGTTTTTGTAGAACTCCTCCAGTGGGGAGCCCAGGGCCGGATCTCACTGGGGCCCCCCCAGCATGAGGTTCTCGTGCCTCTGTCCCTCCATCCGCCCTCCGCGCTAGGTCCCTGCGACACACCTCTACCTTGGAGCTCTTCTCGGCCGCGCCACTGTAGGAGATGCGGCTTGGTTAAAGCGGCAACGGCAGTATATAGTGGGCCCGGGAGGCGGGCAGTCGTCCTCTTCCATGTGGGCTGAACAGGGCACGGGGGTCGGTGACGGGCCCCCTCTTTGGCCGCGGGCCTTCGGGCAATGCCCGACTGCCCGTTTGGTCTGTGCGCCCCTGATCAGAGCCGACCTGTGACAATGAAACTGTCATAGATTGGGAAGTGAGCGAACACATACCATCACTCGCTCACTTCTCGATCTATCCCTGCATAGACCCGTGGCTGTCACTCACGGCTCCGTGCAGGGATTTCCCCCCTCTCCTGTCTGATCCTCCATCGCTGACTGGCGGAACGGACGGGGGAGGGGGCGGGCACAGCTGGCTCTGCCTCTGGATAGGCAGAGCCAGCTGTCAATCCCGCGGCTGGGTGGAGCCAGACAGCAATGTCGGGATCCATTCCGGCTGCGGTGTCTCAGTATATCGCGAGCTGTAGCTTGCGGTATACTGAGCTTTGGGTCACGGGAGAATGCTAGTTTGTGTTCTCCCGTGACCCTTAGGAGAACTATGGGGAAAAGCCCTGATCTCATAGTTCTCCTTTCGGTGTTTTTGTTTTAGCCAATGGAAATCTAGCTACTGGGAGAAGGAGAGGTTGTTCATTTTCAGGTGTATTCAGACTTTTGTCATTTGTGAAAAGGCACAGTTTAAAAGCATTGGATTTTGGTTGTTGGGCGATTTGGAGCTTTGAGCTTCAAGCTGCAAAGCGCTAAGGTGTGTATGAGGGCTATGAAAGATTCTACCTAACTAGGATACAGATAGCAAAAAAACGTCTAACTGTCACAATGTCCGGCAATCCAAATTTCCAGGTGCCTGGCTGTCAGCCTATTGTGTTTCACAGGGCTGCAGCCAATCTGCACACCTCCTCCCCTATTTAGCACTCTCTCACTTGTTGCTTTTTGTTCGAGCAACAAGTCTTATTTCTTGTGTTGGACCCCTTAGTTTCCCATGATCTCCTGTGCTTGTATACCTTTTTGGATCCCTGCTTTGTGCTGATTCTCCTGTGACTGCGATCTCCCAGTTGGCTATTCCCCCTTTGTTTGTCATCTCCCTGTTGGCTTTCCCCCCTTTACTTGTGATCTCCCTGTTGGCTATTTCCCCTTTGCTTGGTTCTTGTGTTCCCATTTTTTGTAGTTCCTGTGTGCTGGTCTTCTACCTTATTTGTACGCTTCCCCCCTCCATCATTGTGCTCTCTTCTGCGTGCCTGTACTTATCACATTCCCCTAGTGCTATCCTTCTGCACGGTATCTGGTGCACCCGTGGCCGTGCTATGCATGTCTCCCATTGCACAGCTTTCAGTGTATTTCTTGAGCCTTCCGGTACATTCCCCTGTACATATCACCTAGAGTGCCTGTAGTTCTGTGTTATGTAAATTTTTCCTGCGTGTACACTCTGTATCCTAGCCCTGTACTCGCACCATCCCTTGTGTGCATATTCCCTGCTATACATGTTCACAGTGTGAGCTGTGATTCCTTGTGTGAGATCCTGCTTATCCTACTAGTGGATGGTAATTGTCACCTTCAGTGAGCCCTTGCACCTGCCCTTCCTGTGTATCTTTTGTCCCTGTGGATAAACCTGTTGTGTGCAGTGGCGAGCCGTGTGCGAGGATCAGAGGCAGGGCTTGAAAAATCCCAACGAGCAGCTTTACATTCAAGCTATCGGGAGTCTCTAGAGACGCCAGATCGCTTGTATTAGCCGCCGCTGTCACTGCCGGCATGGCTCTGTGACAGGAGATCAAAGGGAGATCAGTATACGGTCTCCCTTTGATCTTCTCTGAGTCCCCGAATGCAGGAAGTGGTGTATATTACATCACTTTCTGCATTCAGTGTCACTCTCCAGCTACAGAAGCTGATGAAGCCGATCTCTGCTTCATCAGCTTCTCTGGGGGTCCCTAGGTGACATTAGGGGTCTTGGAGACCCCTGATGTCTCCATAAAGAGGACCTGTCATGTAAATTGGCTATCACATAGGGGGCTTCTTATCCCCCATGTAATAGGAATAAAGTTGTGTGTAAAAAAAAAGAAAGTAATACAAAAATTAAAGAATCATTAAAAAAAAATAAAAACATTTTTTTAAGTCCCCGCCCCCCACATACACACGCAGATATGCGTCGGGTGCGCCTATGTGCAAAAACCAACAATTGCGCCTATTGTGCCGCACATGTTACATACCGTGCCGCAAACGTCGCAGTGAGAGCAATAATTCTAGGGCCATTAATCACTGATAACACTAAACTGATGAGCAGTAAAAGCGTTTAAGCGTCGCCTATGGGCCTGTGGGCGTTTTTTGCGATTTTGCGGGCGCACGCAATTTTAAGGCTTGACATGTTTGGTGTGTATTTACCTGACGTGATCCCGACTTTTATGTTTTACCAAGAATTTGGGTAAGAATAAATGTTTTATAACAGAACGTAGGGAAACCGTTTTTGTTTTTTTTTTACATTTAAGGTATTTTTTCATTGATATGGTCCAGAAAATTTAGGTGAACAAAACACCTGGACCCCTACACCCTCACTCTTTGCATCTGGAGGGAAAGAGGTTTAACCTTTGCATACAGAAAGGATTCTTCACAGTTAGAGCTGTGAAAATGTGGAATAGACTCCCCCAGGAGCTAGTTCTAGCTAGCTCAGTTAACTGTTTAAAAAAAAAAAAGTCAGGATGTATTCCTAAATGCACAGAATATTACTGGATATTGAGTTCTTATAGGTATATTAAGCACCAGAGATTGTTGATCCAGCGAATATCCGATTGCCTTATGTGATCAGGAAGGATTTTTTTCCCCCCTGTTGGAGCAAATTGAACTATGCCTAATAGGGTTTTTTTTTTTGCCTACCTCTAGATCAACATTGGGTAATTGTGAGCCTAGCGTTCTGTTTTAGGTTTTTCTTCTTTCTTTTTTCTCCTCTTATCTCTATAGGTTGAACTCGATGGACTTGTACACTGCATAATCTAAATGGTATATCTGGTATCAGTAAAAATACAGTTTGTTTCCAAATATCAGAAAAAACTTGGCTGAACTTCCAAAATGTAAAATGTCCTCTTTCCTAGTTCTGGTAATGAACACACTTTACCTCTGGATTCTGCTAGACTCGTATGACCTATATCATACATATGTGTTTTATTTTACCTTTATAGCTTTTACTCTACAACAGACATGCAGTCAGAGCTGTGGAAGCAGGTTTTACCATGCAAACCCCAATCTTTAAATGTGATCTCTTTACATAGAACCAGATGAAATATATCAGTTCTGTCACATGCCCACATAGGAGTTATCAATAACAATGGCTAGTCATCCATACTATTTGTTAGTAGAAGAAGAAATCTTTACTTCCTGCCATGTTTCATCTTCCCATCATCTTCCTTCCTTCCTTCCTTTATAATATAAAGAGAGAAAGGGTAACCACAAGCTCTTACCCTATGGGGTAATTTACCAGAGGCTTAAACTGCAGACAACAGAATAGAAAAAGACTTGTGAATAACAAAGCTGGTGAGCAAATGCAAGTAGCATCTGTAGGCAACATAACCGTACTGAACTGAGGGCAATTGTACCTTCTGCATCCCCTATAGTTACATAATAATATTAATCTCTGAAGAAGCTGGATTTCCTTTCATTTTCAAGCATAATGCTTACAATAATATATAATAGGCAAATATCATATATAAGAGAAATAGATAATCCGCGCTTCTGGAAAGGAAACTAAAGTGGAAGTATATAATAAATTAAGACCTAAAGCAGCTCTAAAAAGGGGATAGAAGAATCCTATCAGCAGTCGAGAAAAATGTATATCAAAGCGCTAAAGGTGTAACAAATAAGAAACTTAGTATAACCAAGTGATATAATGAAATTTTAGGTTTAGGGGGTCTAGCCCTAAAACAAGTGATATCTTACATAGAATCATAAAAAATATATATGAATAAAGTTAATAATACAATAGTGCTGTGGAAAAAACAGAAATGATTGGGACAATAAAAAATTCCAACCACTGTGTAAAGACCTCGAATAGGTCACAGATTAGATATCAGATCATATATTAGCTTAATATCTTAAATAAATAACATTTCGTTTAAAAATCATTGGGTATTCATTTAAAAAAACGTCATTAGGTATCGGATCATATATTAATTAAAAATGTGCAGTTAGATTACTAATCAGAACGGAACCCATTCAGTGGACAAAGTGAGAAATTGTGGGAAACACTGCGCCTGAGACGATCCAGCTTTACTTCTGGGATACAGCCAGCGCTACAAGGGAGAAAAACCAAACACTCACCTTGCAGGGACTGAGAGTAAAAACAACTGGGTCCAAGCTTGAAAGCACGATTGCAGGCTCAAGTGTCACTAACAAAAAGCCTTTGATCCAACTCCATTTGGTGAGTACCCACCCAAGGGGGCTGTCGGACCACCGCCACGAAATATATACCACCATCAATATATATCATTAACAATTTCCTTTGTACACGTTTTTTACGTTTATTTTTCGTTGACCAATTTATTCCAATTTTTTTATATATTTTTTGCACGGATCGTTTATATATTGTGACCTATTCGAGGTCTTTACACAGTGGTTGGAATTTTTTATTGTCCCAATCATTTCTGTTTTTTCCACAGCACTATTGTATTATTAACTTTATTTTTATTTTATATATATTTTTTATGATTCTATGTAAGATATCACTTGTTTTAGGGCTAGACCCCCTAAACCTAAAATTTCATTATATCACTTGGTTATACTAAGTTTCTTATTTGTTACACCTTTAGCGCTTTGATATACATTTTTCTCGAAATATCATATATAATCTTAACAGCTTTGCTTTCATAGGTGAGGTTTACGGTTTCTTATTAAACTATGTTAAGCAGTTGTCTAGCAGTGTATTAAATTTCAGTGCAGCAAAAAAAAATCACCTATTTGTTGAAACTTACCAGGAACATGTCGATAGACTCGGATTTCACAGAATCTATAGATATACAAAGTAAGGACTAAATTGAAAAGTTGTACCACTATGAGACTGAGTTGTTTTATCTGGATTAAAGAAATGTATTATAGCATTTGAAAAGCACTGGCATATGCATATCATTATACAGGTCTACTGGTTCATATGTGACAATGGTTTTTATTAAAGTGTATGAAAACCCTAACAATTATCTCTTATTTGCTCCCTTTAGGAGACATTGAAAGTTATAGGGATGCACAGATACTTTTCGAGTACCAGTGCCGATACTTGGCATTTTCATGAAAACTACCAGGGTTGCAGAAGTTGCAGCTGGGACCTGGCTCTGGCGCTCCACCACTGTTCTGAAATCATTAGTCTGTATTGTTTTAGAAAAACTGTCACATGACAATAAACAAAAATGTATCAGTACTCGTACTTGTAAGTACTCGGCAAGTACCAGTACTCGTACTCGCAAAACTGGTATCTGTGCATCCCTTTATTTATATTTATAAAAACAAAATCGTACATCAAAACAGAGATGTACAAATCCTGGGAGCTCCGTGTACTCCTTACAAATGACAGCTGCCTCCTAACTTTTGCATTTTTCTCTAGTCTAGTGTTGAAGCTCAAAAGTATCGGTACATGTACTCGTACTTGTACCGAGTACTGTACTTGGTATCTGTGCAACCCTAGAAAGTTATATTTGTTAAACAAGTGGAAAAAATGCTTTCTGATCTTCTCATGAATTCAAAACTGTCCTGTGTACATTTATGCTCCATTCACACTTACTGTGTGTGACTGTGCGCATTGGCAGGCATGCACACATCATGGGAAAAACGCATGACATACAGTACTTGTGGCACCATTACTTGTTGTTGGCACCCAAACGCAGCAAGCAAAATTAGTGTCTCTGCTCACATGTTGACACGCCAGGAATAAGCAAAAACGTGTGACCAAAAAAATGTGAGAAGCACGCAGCTCACACTGCTGCATGAGTGTGCAGGGTAGCCCATTGAACTAAATGCAAAACGTACAAAATGCAATGCGTGTTCACGCAAGCTGCAAGTGTGAATGGGCCCTTACTGTGGCATCAACGAGAGTAATTAATTCTTATAGTTCTTTTCTTAGTCTATAGAATAATTAATCCCTATTGTGGAGATGAGGACAGTGGGATGGATTCTGTAGAAGCTAAGTGCATTTCTGGAAGATCAACAGGTATTTGTCTATACTTGCAGGGTTTTAGGGGGATAAAACACAAGGTGTGTGTATTGTAACGATGTACTGCATATTCTTTTCTTAATTTTTGCTTTGACATACATTTTAAGAAACTATTTACAGTATGTTTTATGTTTTAAGCTCTAAGCCTTTGCTTATCATTTTTAGATATTTTATAATGACTAGCTGGTTCCAATGGTTTGCCACAGAGGTAGGTCTAGCACATATATTAAAAAGGGATCAGGGCCTGTACTAGACCATTTTTCACCCTAGATAAGACCAGCTACTTGCACCCCCCCCCCCCAAAAAAAAAGCTTCCGTTTTTTCCGAATACCCCAGCAGACACCCCAGTGGACAGGCTAGCTCCATCTTGCCCCAGTGGACTGGCTAGTCCCATTTCTCCTCTGCATGTTCAGCTGAGTGCAGAACGACTTCGACTCAGCCGATCCAACATCTGGATTGGCTGAGCCAAAGCTCTCACAGCTCACTCGTTGCCACTCGCCTCGATTCTCATAGGGGCCAAACGGCAGTGAGTGAATAGCTCGGCTTCGGCATTCGGCTCGGCTATTCTGCTCTGAACGTCCGTGGTACCGAGCAGAATAGAAAATAAGTTAAATGAATGTGAAAACAAATTTGCAAAATTATTTTTAAAATGATACAAAATAGGAAAATGTAAAAAAAGGAAAATATGTTAAGGAACTAAAAAAACAACAACAATTGGGCGGAGCTAGCAATGACAGCTAGCTCCGCCCAACTGTTTTTATCTGCCCCGCTGTTATTAATAACAGATCAGCATCCCCAGGTCATTTGGGGACACTGATCTGTCATTACAACTGGGCGGAACCAGCCATGAGATCACGGCTGGCTCCGCCCAGCTGTCATTTTCTGTGGAGAACGGCCGGCCCTTCGGCTGGCCGTTCTTCCCGCTTCGGTTGTCACTTCAGCTAAGTCAAGCCGAAGCATATGCCTTCGGCTCGCTGAGCCACTCGGCTGCCTTCGGCTGCTGTACGGGCTATTGTGACTAGCTCGTACAGCAGCCCTTCGGTTCTACTGAACCGAAGGGCGAGGCAGCCGAAGTGAGCCGAAGGATCAGCCGAAGCTACGGCTGGATCCTTCGGCTCTTTAGTGAATAACCCCACAATGTAAGATTGTAGTCCATCACTGGAGTGAGCTTGGAGCGGTGACTACTTTACAATACACACAGGGACCATGGGGAATAAAAGTAGCCACCCTGCAGAAGGAAGGACAGTGTCAGCACCAATTCAGAGATGATTTGAGGATCTACAGCTGAGTGATACACAAATAAGATACATTTTTGTTAGGGCTGGTAATGATTAAAATGTTCGTGTTGGATTAATCTAAATTTTTTTAATTGATTAATTTCGATTAATTATAACGCACATACAGATGCAACTACATTGGCCTATACACATACAGCACAGCAATTAAGTAATAAAATGAACTAGGATCAAACTAATCCAGCACGTTATTAATCTCACGTGCCCCACTCAATATGGCTGCCGCTTGAGTGGGGCAACTCACAATAATAACGTGCTGGATTAGTGTGATCCTAGTTAATTTTATTACTTCATTGCTGTGCTGTATTTGTATAGGCCAATGCCTGGGCTGGCGCTCGTGCAGAAAGTTTCTTGGGCAAACTCACTGGTCCAAGTGGCTCCGTTGGCTAACGAAGGGGGGAGGAGTTCGGTGACATCACGGACATCAACGTCACCGGACTCCTCAACCCTTCCCTTCTTTACCCGTCACCGACGTCACCGTACTCCTCCCCCCTTCCCTTCGTTAGCCAACGGAGCCACTTGGGGAAGGGGGGAGGAGTCCAGTGACGGCGATGTCCGTGGCGTCACCGGATCGCCGACGGGACTCCCGGAAGCCGGCGGAGAGGTGAGTGTTTTCATTAGCGATCAAAATAATTTTAATTGATCAAAAAGTTTAACGATTAATCGAGAAATTAATCTTTAATTTCCACAGCCCTAATTTTTGTTACTAAGGTACTTAAAAGCATTTTTAAGATTTAACTTCTGAGTTTAGTGTCACATTTTAATAGATGTAAGATGATTTCAAACCAGCATGCAAAGCTGTGTAGTAAAATAAAGTCCTTGCAAGATGTTTCTAACTTACAAAGTGACCTTGATACATGGGTTTACGGGCTGGTCAACTACATGATCAGATTTTTCATTGATAAAAGTAAAATTATGGACGTGGTGGAGTAATTATTTATCAATAATGCAATCTGGGGAATATACATAAATAAATGGAGAAATATCCAGTTGTCCTGGTAGTCTCTTCTCATCCCACCTGAACTATTCTTTTGCCATTCCATGTTCCGCAGTCATCTGGCAGGCAGGCAGCAGAAGAAGAGCCTTTACTGACCTCTATAACAACAGGCACTAAGGAGCAATTTATCTTCAAAGTTTACAACAGACACGGATAAATCACCGCACATTACAGCTCATTTCCCCTTGTATTCTCTGCAAGCAGGCACTTGGCAGCCAGACAGCTTTCTAATAGAAACAAACAACAAGTGATTTAACCTGTTCAGAAACCAGGTAAAACCTGAATTCAGAGTCTCTGTTGTAATATTTGAGGATAAAATACTAACAGTACCTGCTGTTTTAGAGATCACTGAGGGCTTGTTTAAAGCTAATTTACTAACTTGCTAATTTGCTTCTCAGTGAGAATATATATATGTTTTTAATGTTAATAGCCTGACTACAGATTCACTTTAAAGAAGAACTCCTGGGGGAAAAAAAATCTTTACACTCACAGTGGGGCTACGGTGCACTGCAAAGGTTTACTGCTTGTTTTTGTCTCTGCGAAAATAAAAAAAGTTATAATCACCTGAGCCTCTCTCCCTCTCCGCTCCAGTGGTCTAGGATCCTGTGAGTCATCAGATTCAATACAGTGTATAGGACGTGAGGACACCGAGGGACATTCCTTTGCTGGAGCGAAGGAGTAGACAGGCAGGAGGGACCACTGTAACAGCCAGCTGGCTACGAGGTTCAGGTAAACATAACTTTGTTATTTTTGCTTCTAGACAAAAACAAGCAATTAACCCTTGCATTGTGGGGTTAAATTTACAACTTTCCAGCTATCTCAGAATAGTATGTTCATAGTTATGGTTGGCTTTCTGCAACATGAGAAATCTGAATCACTAATACTTAAAGCCATAGCGTGTAATTAGAGTTGTAAATGTCCTTTAAAGACCAACTCCTTCTACAACATTATCATTTTAGATAGAATGGGAAAGAGTTATAACATCTCCCAGGCTTTATTTGCCGCTGTGTCCCCTTTTGTAGATACCCTCTCACTTTCTCTGTGGTGTGAGGGGATGAAAGCAAGCAGAACCCCTTCAATTTGGATACATAGAGTAACTAATGATATTTTCAGTTTGGAGGCTTGTGATACAACTTGTATAAATTATTACATTTGTCAGGTCAGGGTCATCTGATTTAAAAACTCTCTTTTTGTAAAACTGAAAGTTGTGTATTACAGGAACAATTTAAACTGTTTAATAAAAATTAATGTTGCGGATCACAGAAGTATTTAATGCCATGTGTAAAAGTCCTCTAAATGGCTTTGTGCAGCTGTATGGATCTGAAAACTTTTCTGTGGTCTCTAGTATACTTAATAAGCTATACTTAAAGCACATAGTTCCCTTTGTATGGGTAAATGATTGGCATCCGAGTAAAAGTAAACAGTGAGAACGATCGAAGTGTATACAAAGTTCAGTGGAAAACAGGTCAGCTGAGACAGGTGGAAACTCTTAATACGAAGAAATAATGCTAATAGAAATCATTGTATGTAATAAATCTGATAGGCAGTGCTAGGTTATCAGTAGCTGGCAGACATGTGGAATCTCTGGGAGGGGATATTACTTTTTCTGGGATGTATCTTTATTATTAAATATCTAAAAGTCATATGGGCAGCAAAAAGCCTTCCTCCGGGACCCATCCCTTTACCTTTTATTGGAAATTTGTGGACGCTGAGCTTCCAGCTCCATCCAGAGACACTGAGACAGGTATGTACCACTACTAAATCTGTCACAAAGTACAAAAATTATTTAATCTGATAGATCAGTTTCCAAACCATGACATGTATTGTGCAATCTGTAAAAAATGCAAATGTATACTGTTTTATTGTGAAATATAAATATGTGACTTGTTCTAGAATAGAATAACTCAAAAAGTATTAAATTTCTATATTCTATATTTCTATATGAATTTGCTTACTGTGTATGTAGTAGATCATGATGTCACTGTCTTTGACTTGATTTGTTTTGTTTACTATTCTGATATAACTTTATGCAGATTTTACATATAATTGCAGGAGCTATTAATTACATTATTTATCTAACTGAATACTGACTATATCTAACAGAATACAATACATTTCACAAAACTTTAATTCATTAAGTTGCAGAAGAAGCATTAGAATAGCATCTTATCTTTTCATACTGTTGTTTTATTACATCATCATTACATCATCATTACATCACATAATAGCAAAAAACACAATTAAAAATATATTTGTTTTTTTTCAGTATATGCATGTTTTATGTGTAAAGTGTAAGGATCATATAGAACCAAAAACTGCTCTTAAAAAAAAAAGAAGACTGATATTTAAACAGAATTATGCAGTGATTAGCAACCAACTAATCAAATCATCGTTCTGAAGGTTGAATATGACTTGTTAAAAACATACAGGTGAAACTCGAATAATTAGAATATCATGCAAAAGTAATTGCAGTAAGTTCTGCAAAAGGGGCCCAAACCAAGTACTGAGTACATATGCATGCTTGTACTTTTCAGAGGTCCGATATTGTTCTATGTACAATCCTTGTTTTATTGATTGCATATAATAATCTACTTTTTTGAGGTTGTGGATTTGGGGTTCTTGGGGTTTCCATGAGCTGTAAGCCATAATCATCACAATAATGACAAATCACGGCTTGAATTATCTTGCTTTGCATGTAATGAGTCTATCTCATATATTAGTTTCACCTTTTAAGTTGCATTAGTGAAATAAATGAACTTTGCACGATATTCTAATTATTCGAGTTTCACCTGTATATTTTTTTTAATTAGACTAGAATGTTGAATCTTTCCATCTTTATGCATATTATCTGACTACTTGACTTGTATGTTTACCTTTTAGTTCTTTTGTTAAATGAGCAAATTGCTTCAACTAGATGTCCATTTAAAATCCTAATCCTTGCTGACAGATATGTCTGGTACACAGTACAGTAATAGGAATTAATTCCTTAGGTTTCCTTTTTTATATTTTTATTTTATTAATTTAACATCTTAGCATAAGTAATATCTATATCTTACCTTATGCCTCAAAATAACCTTTAATTCTCATATTATTACACCTAACACCTTCACCGAGTCTATGCTATGACTTGCCACCTTCTCAGTATCTCTGAGCGGATCTAAAATGCTGCACTGTTTAGTGTGTGACAACAGTGTAGTTTATAGCCAATGTGTTATATAAACATAAGGGATTTAAACAAAAACAAAAAAAACAAAAAATATATATAATATTCCCACTCACAGCTGGCTAAACTCCATGGAAATATCTATACAGTGTGGCTTGGTGAGACTCCACTGGTGGTGCTGAATGGCCTCAAAGCTGTTAAAGATGGCATAGTGTCTCATTCTGAGGAGCTGTCAGGACGCCCTGTGGCTGGCTTTTTAAGGGCCCTTCTTAGTGAAAAAGGTAAAAATATATTGCCCATCTTTTATATCATGCCAAAAGGTATTCCTTTTTTTCACCTATGTGTGGTGACTAAATTTCTGCACAAGGCTAAGATCAAGTATGTATTTTTAAGTTGGTGACCAGGGTGGCAATCCCTATTCCATGAACCTCTGAAAAGTGGGCAAATGGTACGAAGAGAGCAGAGTGGCAAAAGTGGCTGTGGTGAAGGTGACTTCTGAGATTTTCAGGAATCAGTAGAGCAGCACTACTGAGCCTAGGGTGACGGGAAGACACTAGTTTGTGTCCTCCCGTTACCTTAAGAATAACTATGGGGAAAAGCCTTAACCCCATAGTTCTCCTTTAAAGAAAAACCCTGGGTAAGAATATTATTAACCCTTGCAGTGGGGCTACCACTGCACTGCAAGGGATAAGTGCTTGTTTTTGCCTAGGTTCAAAAATAACAAAGTTATTCCCCGATCCTCAGAGCCAGCTGGTTAACCTAGTGCTCCCTCCTGCCTGTCTCTTCCTCCGCTGCAGCGATGTTATGTCCCTCGGCATCCTCACGTCCTATACATAGTGTACAGAACATAGTGACTCAGGGACCCTAGACCGCTGCAACAGAGGGGAGGGGGGGGGCACTCCAGGGACTGGTCTAAGAGCCAGCTTGCTCAGAGTATTAGGTGAGTATAACTATTTTTATCAAGCACTTAACCCTTGTAGGGGGCAGCACCACTGCAAGGGTTAATAATGTTTTTACCAAGAGTCCTGCTTTAAATATCTAGTTTGGTAACTAATGCCACAGTAAGCATGTGTACACATGTTGTGAAGCTTGTGCCTACCATGTGAAAGAGGCCATGACCCAGTACATGTCTATCTATGTACAGGGACGGATTCCCCACAAGGCCACCGAGGCCATGGGCTTGGGGCTGCAGGGAGTGGAGGGGCGGCACAGCCTGCAGCTTCTCCTCAGATCCCTGCTGCTCTCTCGCCCCTGTATGGGCAGAGGCAGCGGGGATCTAAGGAAAAATGGAGTGCTAAAGCTGGTGGGGGTGGGGAGAAAGGAGCACTCTCATAAGGATGGAAGAGCGTGGAAAACACTGCAGAGCCGCTGGCTGCTAAATCCGGGATGGCTGAGTGGCTCTGTGCGTGGCCGAGTGGCTCCTGTCGCTTTCAGAAAGGCAAAGCAGAGGATCGGTAAATATGTATAATATTTACTGATCCTCTGTGTGCAGCACAAACACTGGAGTGATCAACTGATCACTCCAAGGTTTGTAAACAACTGGGCACACATAATACAATTTGTCCCCAGTTATGAGTTTCTGAATGGGTAGGAGCAGCTCAGTACAGAGGCTTCTATCCATTCTTAACTGGTGGATAGAAAATATTTATTATCTCGAGTTTGTGAATGAATGGGAAGCCTCTGTACTGAGGCTGTAGAAAACAAGATTCTGTTCTCAATTTATTTTTCTATTTCAAAAGGGAAATGTCAGGGGTCTGTTTAGAGCCCTGATATTTTACCAAAGCCCCCCAACAGTAAAAAAAAATAAACATGCACTTTGATTTAGTAAACAGTATGCACTATTTAACATGTAATCTAGGTTTTGTATTCTGTTTCGTTTTTTTACTTTTATAGATGCACTTACTTGAAAATAGGGTCTGCATGACATCCTGACACTTTATTTTCATAGACCTATAACTTGTTTGCCTACTGTTGTTTTATTTAATAAGAATACTTATATTGTGCTTACAAGTTTAATACCGTTGAATAAAAGTTTTATTTGTATCATACTTTTTAATCTATTTCTTTGGGGCTTAACAAAATCGGAGGCTTTAAATTGTGCTGGTATTGGAGAAATGGGTGTGGCCACAGAGGGGTGTGGTCACTGAGGAGCACTTTAAAGCTTTCTTGCACAGGGAGCCTAAAGACCTATGGCCGGCCCTGATCTCAGCAGATCTGTATGGCAGCTGAATAAGGCAGTGTGGACAGAAGAGGAAATCAAGGTAAAGTGTACGTTTGTTTTTATCATCAATATACACCCAGACACACCCAATAACAGTCTGAAAGAACTGAACTTTTTCATAAAGTCCTCAGTGGTATCTTGCAATATTGGTGAGTGTTTATTAATTCAAAAAGCACAGTATACATCCAATATCACAATAATACACATTTCTCAACTTTAGTGCTAAGTCATGAGGTCTCAGACACTCTAAAAAACTTGCACATTTTGAAACATACACGCCGTCCCTGGGTTATGAACAAGATAGGGACTGTAGGTTTGTTCTTAAGTGGAATTTGTTTGTAATTTGGAACAGGTACATTTTTTAAGTGTGACTTCAGCCAAACAATTTTGTTTCCGTTTTGGATATCATAAGGAAGGGTTAACCCCCTGTAATGTTTGTTTTGCTGTGTGTGCCCCTTTTCAGAAGATTTCACCTCACTTTCTGTCCCTGTGACAATTGGATTTTGAAAATTTTGGGTTGTCATGGAAACAAGGATTGGTGATAAAGCTTTAGTGGAGACATCTTTTTCCCATGATCACTCTTACAGGAGTGTATTTCCCTTCCTAGGGGTAGATTTCCTCTCACTTCCTGTTGTCTCAAGGAAGTGAGAATAAATCTTTCTAATAATGAGAATACAGACAGCAGTAAAGACCTCACAGTGACCCGCTAAGAGAGGTGGACACCCCTCGCCTGCACGTCTAACAGGAGCCAACCTCCTGTAATGTACGTACAGTACTATGACCCAAAATGTTGGGCACTGCTCGTCAGCACGAGCGCGGTAGCTCTACAACTACTGGAATGCTGCACGGTACACTTTGGCTGCAGTCTGGGACCCCCTGCTGTACAGTAATAGCCTCAGTTTGTAAGTAGGGGTCGTATGTAAGTCGGATGTTTGTAACTCTGGGACTGCCTGTATAGTTCTTTTCTCATATACAGAACTACTAGATTTATGACCCCGTTGTTTCTGCAGTACCTCCCACCGAAATCTAATTTTGATACTTTTCTAAAACATTTGTTTAACTTCCAGAAGAGAAGCAGCAAGGATTGGGCAACACATCCTCTGAATTTATCTTTTGTAGTTTTTATTTTATTTGTATTTATTTTACAAATCTGGAGTATCATTTTGCACATCATATTTCACAAAAGATAATTACATTTTTTTAGGTATATTCACATCTAATGGAGGTATGTGGAAGCAGCAAAGACGTTTTGGGCTAATGACCCTAAAAAACCTTGGGCTTGGAAAATGTAGCCTTGAATCACGTATACAAGAAGAAGTTGGCTGTCTAGTGGAGTCATTTAAATCCAAGAATGGTTAGTCCAATGGGTTTGATCCAGACTATGATTTTTTTCTGTTTATATTTCAGATGGGTACTAAAGTTATTAAAGTGGTGCGACATATATCAATATGTTCAATATAAAGAATGTAAAAAGTACAAAAATAAAATGACATTTTTCTAAGTGAATGTGGATCTCCTGTCCCCACTGATCTTCAGCTGACTGGAGATAAGAAAGCCATAGAAGGAGTCTACTGTACAAGCACTATCTTTGCATAGAGAGTTACTATTGCTGTCATGATGCACTGCTGCATGCTCCATTAATACACTGTCTTTCCCCTGCTTTTGTTTTACAAAAATTATGATGAAGAAGAGGCAGGTTAAATAATGATGATGTAGACAAGTCCTTGAGTAGTGCAGAAAACAATTAAGATTTTAATATACAGTAAGCCATTAGCAATCAAATGTAGTTATATGCGCAAAATATGAATTCTTATTGGTTGCTATTGGCCATTACATTCAGTGGCAAATAAAAAAAAAATCCTTTTTATATGTTTTAGGAGAATCATTTGATCCCTCAGAGATGATCACCAATTCTGTAGTAAATGTAATTTCTGCTGTGGTTTTCGGACACCGTTTTTCGATCGATGATGGGATTTTTCAATACTTGGTCCAATGTAATCATGTTCTGCTTGAGATTATTGGCTCAGCATGGGGAAGGGTGAGTCTCAGTAAAGAAAGGCCTTTGTCTTGCATTGAGTTGAACATTAAGTGCATTTTAATTATGGTGCTTAATTATTTTTGGCCAGCTTTATGATTCTTTTCCGTGGCTGATGAAACATTTACCTGGCCGTCATCAGAAAGCCTTTGAAATTATGGAATACTTACATAAATTTACAGACAAGGAGATTCGAATGCATAAGGAGAATCGATCATTTGAGGAACCTCAAGATGTCATCGACTATTACCTGGCCCACATTTCAAAGGTAAAATCATAAGTAGCCTTATTTAACATGATGTTTTGTTGCAGCAGGCATGATGGCCGATTCCAGTTTTTTCTAAGCACCTTCACAGTGATCTGTCCTAAAGGAAAGACTTAGGCCTTACATTTGAGGATTGTGTTTAAAGCCACCTCAGACCCCTCACAGCCTCTCCTAACATTACAAATAAAGATGAGCATGTAGAAATGTTAACCCTTAAAACCCTAACCCAAGTAAAAGCAATTTAAACTGCTAGCGTATTTTATGTAAATGAGAACATGCAACAGATACAAAATAGGTATTTACCCAATTTGGCTGCAAAAAAGAAAATACACTTTATAGCCTAACTCCAAGTAACACAATGTCCAATTTCTTTAGTTGACACAGGATCTAGTGCTTGTTTTTTCTAGGGACTGGTCTAGCACAGAGAAATACTCACCTTATCCAACCGTCCTGCAGTCTACCTCATCACAGTTTCTGGTTGTAACGACTGAAACCCCGAAGTCACTCTTCTTGCCAGTCTCTGGGCAGTCTTGTCACTGCCCCTCTCAATGACACTATAAGCTACAGTACATGACCAGCAGCCACATTCTCAGGATGTGGTTTCTGGAATAAGTTCCTGCCCACATTCCAGCGCTGGAGAGAAGAGGAATGGACAGGTTAAGGTAAGCATTAAGATAATCGTTTGTTATAAAGTGTTTCTAAAGGAAAAACCTTTTCTAAAGTGTTATAAAGTGTTTCTAAGTGTTTCTAAAGGCCCAAACCCCTGTGAGGATTTCATTGTTGCCTGTGTCCCTACTTTAGTAATGTACTCAATTGTTACCGAGACTGAAAATGAGGGAAAATGTCTGAGTTCTCAGCAGAACAAGAATATGGTGGAAAACTTTTAATGGGGAGACTTGTTCTGGCAGCATTTAGGAAGGGAATTTACCTCACTTTAGAGAGATTTTTTTACTCACTTGTATCTACAGGACAGGAAGTTAAGGGAAATTTCCTCAATGGAATACAGCTGGGGAAAAAAGCTGGAATATCCTACCCAATATGAAGAACAGAAAAGCTAAAGATGATTGAAAATAGCACTGCTAACTTCAATGAAGATGTAGAAAGTTGAAAACCTAAATAAAAATAATGCATTGCAATGCTGAAGTGATGGATGTTCATCACAATAAACTCTATGGAATTTTTAGGAGGGGTTCCTATCTTTTTTATCAGATGCTTAAATGAGTATGTAACCTAAAATTGGCCTCATACCTCAATTAGGCTTATTGAATGACCACTACTGTTGGCTTGATTTAGGGAGATTTTTTTTTTTTTTTAAATTGGTACCTTTGCCTTATTTTTGAACCAATGCCATTGATATTGCAGGGAAACCTAACAAATGAAACTATTGAGGGATTTAATAGTTAGTACTGATAACTCTTAGCTCCCAATACCTGTTACTCTGTATAGCCTAACTCTGCCCATCTCTCCTAACTTGCTTCCCCTCCACTGGCTGTATTCTAAGCATTATTTATTTTATACTTTCTTCATGCTGGTCAGGTGACATGCGGGGTTCTGTTCCTTTTCAGATCTTTTTCTGGTGGCAAATGCTCTTTAAGGCCTTGTTCACACCGAAAGCCAGTGCGTTCCAGAGCGGTAGCTGCTGGACCGTAACGCGATCGCTGTGAAACTTCTCCCCGGGAGGGGGCGTGGCGGTGCATTGTATGCAATGGCACCGCTTCCACGCCCCCCCGCCAGCAGTGCTGACCTCATCACATCAGTGCCTCTCACTACATTATTACACTGTAATAGGGCACTGTGATGACACTCCCTCAGAGGGTGAGTCCATGATGCCATGCATTCACAATATGATCCCAGTCTACCTGGGTTGAAGGATACTGGGCACCATTTAACCTAAAATACTAAAGACAATTTGTGGTGAAAAGGAATTAATGTGGGCAACAGCAGCAGAGAGGAGGCGAGTATTATAGCCAGAGCTGTTGTTATGTTTTTTATAACCTTCTGAGGCACTAATAATAAAACTAATATGCTGGGCGTTGGACTTTGAGCTAATAGCAAGATAATAATTGTTGTCAACATATCTTATATCAATTATATCTAATCACATTTTTATCTTTCTAGACAGCAGGTGAAAAAGAATCCATTATTGATGAGGACAGTCTGATTACGGTGGTCATTGAGTTTTTTAATGCTGGAACTGAAACCACAGCTACCTCCTTGCTTTGGGCTTTATTATACATGGTGGCCTATCCTGATGTACAAAGTAAGTACACAAATGGCTACAGTTTTGCAAAAGTTACATATTTTATTTGATAAAATAATCATTAGGGCCCATTCACACTATTGTGCTCAGGTAACACAAATTATGTATGTTGGTGCACTGTGGTACCATTCATTTTAAATGGCACCCCATTGCACCTTCACAAGTGGTTAGCACTTCTGCCTTGTAGCACTGGGGGGTCCCTGGCTCTAATCCTGTTCGGGACACTGAATAGTTTTGGGTGTTCTTCCTGTGCTTATGTGGGTTTCTTCCAGGTACTCTAGTTTCCTCCCACACTCCAAAGACATGCTGGTAGGTGAAGTGGCTCCTGTTTCAACCAGCCCTAGTATGTGTTTATGTATGCATGTGAGATAGGGACGTTAGATTGAAAGCTCTCTGAGGGCAGGGACTGGTGTGAATGCGCACTATGTAAAGCACTGTGTAAAATTGAAGACATTATAAAAAAAAGCTTGTAATGAATAAATAATAGATATAACCTGCCAAACCCTCTGGGGTTAATTTACTAAAGAGCTTGAGGCTGAAGTGGACATAGTTTAACCTTATTTACTAAGCTCAGTGAACATTCAGTGTGCTAAGTGAACAGTTGCTATTCCTTTAGTAAACCAACTCCTCTGTCTCTGATTTAAACTTTGCAGGCAGCCACCCAATAGGTCAAGCTGGGTGGTGGAGGGTGACTCATTTACTTATGTTTAAATTTCATTTTGAGATACTGAGGTCTGTAAACTACATGCTTTTTTTAACAGGAGAGCAAAGGATCACCTGGAAATGTGAAAAGGGGTGCAGATATCCACTCATTGACTGCATATGAGAATACATAATATGCCTATGCAAGTGTTCATATGCACCTCAATAAAAATGTATATTTTAGTATTGACTATAAAAAAGAAAGAAACATATGTTCTGTATATCTATATGATGTGTTCTGTAGTATTATACAACTTTGTCCCCTACTATCATACACAAATTATTTCTTGTCTTCTAATCATGTACATGTTCACAAGGGGTTAGGGGTGTCTCATTAGCCTAAACCTGTACTGTGATATTAATCAATGCCATTTTTAAGATGTAGTACAGTAGAGGTGTGGTGTGAAGATGATCCATTTTAATTGCTTTTCAAGAAGTGATTTCTATAATGACTGATATTTCCATCAATATTCAATTTTTGTGATAAAGATTAATAAGGGGATTTGCAGGGCCACTGTTCAATTTGCAATCATTTATATGAATTATATTTCTTGGGTGACCCAGTATTTTGCTGAACCAAGGATGTAAGCACGGGGATATTTCCGGGAACACTGTGGTGTTGAAGTTAGTAGACGTATGAGTATTTGTAGGGGAACTGCTGAATCGCAGATGAAACTGTATGATCTTTTCAGGGACATTAGACTGCTGTAGCAGACATGGTAGGGTGGTATTTCCAAGTTAAATGTGCTGTTGATCCAAGGAGGATGTCACACAGGATGCCTTAGAAATGCTTGTGGATAGACAGTCATATTTGCAGCAGCACTGTTGAGTTTGGGAAGCAGAGATTTCCAGCTACAATACTGTATGCTGCCAAGTCGGAAATTATGGCATAGTGACACTGTGGAGTTAAGCCGGAGATGAGAACGGGTGTAATGGTATTTGGACGCACACTTCCAGGTTGAATGTAAGGGACACAGAACTTTCCATTGCTAAAGTGAATGTTGGCGAAAGGTTTTTTTAAAGGTAGCACAGTACTGAACCGAAAAGAAAAAATTGTAAGAAAATAGGATGCTCAAGAGTTGTGAGAAGGTACTTTTTTGGGGATTGGTAATTTGGTGGCTGAGGGCATCACAAACTGGTCTTACTTCAGACACTTTTGAAAAAGAGATCACCTGTGTCCATGTTTTAACGTGTACATGCTAATGATATGATTATATATATATAAACGTTCTTGTTACAGAGAAGGTGCACAAGGAACTGGATGCTGTACTTAATGGATCTGCAATTTACTATGAGGACAGAAAGCGGCTCCATTACACTAATGCGGCCATTCATGAGATCCAGCGTTGTGGGAATGTAGCAGCTGTGGGACTTTTAAGAACCTGTACAAGAGATGTCAGTGTCAGTGGGTACTCTTTGCACATGGTGAGAACTAAGCCATTCTGAAAGTGATATTAAAGTCAAAAAGACTTTAAGCTATTTCACATGCTGATGAAATCACTTACAAAGGATGCTGCTCCTTGATGTTTAAAAGTTTTAGTTGCCTGCTGAATCAGCTGGTCACATGAGCACTGGCCCTAAAATTCTGTTTTAGAGTGACTCCTTTCTCAAGCAGAGTGCTATGCAGTCACCCTTGTGTGTGCTAGTAAGCTGTGTGTGTCTCCACAAACACACCAACTCAAGCTACTACCCTCCCCCCGGCCTCTTCTCCTCCAAGCTAGTAGATGAACAGCTGCTGGAGTCTGCACTGTCCTTTGTGATCTTGTACTGGACAGGAACTTCAGGGACCTGAGCTATGAGACTTGGAAGCAGCTGTTCAAAAACATGATGATTGTAAGTGTTTGGGCAAAAAAGTAAAGCAATGCTGGGCAATGTATATTTGTTTGATCTGGATTCATTATTGAAAAAAGCTTGAGAGTTTAATATTACTTTAATGTATAATCTACCTCAAATGAGAGATATACTGTATGTGGGCTGCCACTGCAGACCTGCCCTGAAAATTCTAGTTCCCCGGCTTTCATGCTGATCCTGTAGCTTAATTACTTCATAAGTAGGGATAAACAGAGTGATTTAAGAAACTCTACTTTTCCCTCACTGAGCCGTTTAGGTGAAATATTCTTAAAAAAAACTAACCTTTTTTTGAGAGGTTGTTTAGGGTAATTTAGTTTATTTCATTAACCACTTCTGGACCACAATACGTCTATAGACGGCGGCCCAAAGAAGTGGTTAAATTAAGAACACTGCTGCTGCTGTCTATACAGCCGCTGGATCGTTTGTACCATGCAGCACCCTCTAAAAGATCCCTGATGTCTCCATAAAGAGGACCTGTCACTATTTGCTATTACATAGGGTGCTTGTTAGCTCACTATGTAATAGCAATAGGGTTAGTGTCAAAAAAAAGTTTTTAAACATTTTAAAAAAATGAAAGTAACATATAAGAAAAAAAGCAAAACAAATCAAATTAAACTCCCCCGCCCCCCACGTGCACGCACATACACACGTCGGTGCGCCTACGTGTGAAAATGACAATTGTGCTGCACATGTTACATATCACTGTGAACGTCGGAGTGATAGCAATAATTCTAGTGCCGTCAGTCACTGTTAGCACTAAACTGATGAGCAGTAAAAGTGTTTAAAGTGTTCCCTATGGGAAATTTGGGGAATTGAAGTTTTTGCGGCTTCACGGGCGAATGCAATTTTAAGGCTTCACATGCTCGGTATCTATTTACCTGACGTGACCCCATCTTTCATATTTTACCAAAAAAATTGGGCATTATATTATGTTTCTGTGCACTAAGATTTAATTCAGTTTATTTTTTCCTAAAAATACTGGTTTGATAAACATTTGCGCAAATACTGTGCAACATCAAAAATTGCAACTAGCATTTTATTATTCAACAGGGCCTCTGCTTTCAGAACATATATCATTGTTTGGGGGTCTGAAGCTGTTTTCTAGCCAAAAATGTATATTTTATCATGTGTGTGCAAATAGTAAGAAAATGCTCCGGACAGCAAGTGGTTTATTAACCACTTGCTGACCAGGTGTTTAGACCCCCTTCCTGGCCAGGCCATTTTTCAGTATTCAGCGCTGCAGTACTTTGACTGACATTTATTCCGTCATGTAACGCTGTTCGGCTATTCACTTCAGGCTGTTATGGCTGAAATCAGCCGTACATCTGGATCGGCTATGCCGAACCTCCGGCAGGCTACTCACTGCTGTTCGGGCCTATTCTTATAGATGCCGAACAGCAGTGAGTGAATAGCCGAATGCCGCTGAGCGGCATTCGGCTCGGCTAGTCTGCTCGGTCCCTCAGAGGGACCGAGCAGAACAGAAAAATAGTTTAAAAAGTCCAAAAAAAATAAATAGAAAACGATTGTGCGGAGCTATTAATGACAGCTAGCTCCGCTCAGTAGTTTTCTATTGGCCGGCGGTCCTGCTGCCATAAAAAAAAAAAGAAAAAAAAAAAAGTTCGGGAGCTGTACGGGCTATAGTGAATAGCCCATACAGCAGCCCTTCGGTTCTACTGAACCGAAGGGGTCCTGGGGCCGAAGCTAGCTGAAGAATCGGCCGAAGCTATGGCTAGATCCTTCGGCAGCTTCGTGAATAGACCCCTATATTTCGGGAAAATTACTGAAATTCTTTTGAATTTTTTTTTTTTTACATTATGTTAGGAAACAATTATTATTACCCAACTATTTTGGGAAAATATAAAAGTCGGGGTCACGTCGGGTAAATAGACACCAAATATGTCATGTTTAAAAATTGCGAGCACCCACGAAATCGCAAAAAACTAGGCGACGCTTTCAAAGCTTTTATAGCTTTGTTAGGAGTGATTGATGGCCTTAGAATTATTGCACTCACTGTGATGTTCGCGGCGATATGTAACATGTGCAGCGTCATGGGCGCAATCGTTAATTTCGCAGGCATGCGCACCTGAAGCATGGTTGCATGTGTGTATGAATGGGTGGGGACTTTAAAATTTTGTAAAGTTTTTTAAATTCTTTTTTATGTGTAACTTTAAATTTTGGGGGGGGGAGACTTTAATTTTTTTTCCTATTTTTTTTCCTATTTTTTTCCACTTAACTTTATTGCTATCAGATAGGGAGCTAAGAAACCCCCTTATGTAATAGAAGTGACAGGTCCTCTTTTTATGGAGACATCAGGGGTCTCCAAGACCCCTAATGTCACCTAGGACCCCCCTGAAGAAGCTGATGAAGCAGAGATCTGCTTCATCAGCTTCTCTCAAGCGTCTGAAGCTGGAGAGTGACACGAGAATGTGTAATATATGTGATGTAATATACATCACTTCTGCATTCTGACACCGGAGAGGGGACCGGAGATTATTAAAATGTTTTTATTAAAACATTCACACAACTTTGACCCAGGATTCACATATTTTCCCCTTGCATATAATTATTAAATGTGCGACTCTTGTGTGAAAACAAAATATTTAAATAGACTTGTGTACTGTCACTTTTGCTCTTCCCTATTCTTGCATTACTGACCTGGAACAAATAGAGAAATATGTTGGCATTTGTGTATCTTTCATTTGGTGATGCTTGTCCCAGGTTTGTGACTTAGATGTTTAAAAGGAAAACACAGCCATAAAAAGGCCAGCAATGGCAACCCACATATTTCTTTCATTACTTCAGTGTTATTTTTTCATCCACTTATATAACCATTGCTTTGTACAATAATAATTTTTCTGTTTTTTCTTTATTACCTCCTTCAAGAATACAATGGTTTTGCCCAACCTGGATTCTGTGCTGCATGATTCTGAATACTGGGATACTCCTGATCAGTTCAACCCTCATCACTTTCTGGACAAAGATGGGATGTTTTTAGTAAATGAGGCATTTTTGCCATTTTCTGCTGGTAGGTGCAAAAATATTTTTAAACTAGGATATGCACTAGCAATATTCCACCTTTTCTCGTTGGAAAGTACTTCTACATAGCTCACTCCTGTGATGGACTAAAATCTCATGTTTAGTTTAAGGAAAAAAGTAATCACCCTCCAGAAAGAAGTGCAGTGTCAGCATGAATTAGAGATGATTGGAGGATCTACAGCCGAGTCATACACAAATAAGATACATTTGTGTTAATAGTTAAGGTACCTAACGTCCCTGGCGGTATTCCCGAGTGCGGCTCGGGGTTAATTTTCAGTACCAAGAGCGGTAACCCCAAGCCAGAATCGGGAGTATTTTTAAGATTTAACTGAGTTTAGTGTCACCTTAACTCTCCTCTTTCCAACCACCATACAACTGCTACCATTCCAATTCCCACTTTCCATTTGCATGCTCTCTTACTGCTCTACTATCCAGGTGCCGGTTGTCTCTTTTAGCCTCCCTGTTCGCCTTCTGGTATTTAGCAGTTCCCAATCCCTGTTCTTACCCAACCACCTGGCACCTATATAGCACATCAGTGGGAACACTGTTGTTTATTCCATTTTTTCATCACTGTTCTCTGTGACCTCCATTCCCTTCCTGCTGCACCATCACTAATTTCTGCTGCCTCCACTTCCATCTCCTTCTGTCATCAGTAATCCCCACTGCTTCACCACCATTAAAACCTCCCTGCCTCCTTGCTGCAAAACAATAAACAGTTTAATCTAAAATAAACATTAAATACAGACCAATATACCCCAAAAATAAATGAAGACCCCAAAATACAGCCCCCCTGAAACATAAGCCAATTTTGTTTAAAAAGGGAAGCCTTGCAGTAAAAAAAAAAGAAAAAAAGTTTGCTATATACAGATCACCCACGGCAATATTGTCAGGCTTCAGATAGAGAGGCAGCATAGAGCCGAGGAAAACTTTCCTAAGCTCCTCTTTGGCTCTGATGTGGCACCTGACACAGAAAAGAGGAAGTTTATTTTAACTTTGCCAAGTATGACTGTATCTGAGATCTGGTAAGTGTTTTAGTGGAAGGAGTGAGTCTACTGGGGAAAGGAAGGGGGTTTGCTTTTTTTGGGTGGAGTTTTGCTATTGGGTGGTTTTGCTAGGGTAGGTAGTTTGTTGAAAGGGGTGGGAGCAGGTTGCTGTAGGAGAGGAGATTTTTGCTGGTGAGGGGTTTACTGGGGTAGAGGGGATTTTCACTGGTGGGGGATTTTCTTGGGTAGGCGTGAATTTCGCTGGTGGGTTTTTTTTTGCTGGGGGAGGGGTGATATTTGCTGGTGGGGAGTTTTGCTGGGGTAGGGAGGATTTATGTTGCTTTGGGGTTCAGTAGGAGAGGGGAATTTGCTGGTGGGGGTTTGTTGGGGGAGGGAAGATTTGCTGGTGGGGGTTTTGTTGGGGCAGGGAAGGTGTGCTGGTGTTTTTTTTTTATGTATTTGCTGATTGAGGGTTTACCTGGAAAGCAGGAGATGTCTGATGGGGAATGAGAGAGGAATTTTTGCTTTAGGCAGAGAAATTAAGGAATTTTGGTCATATATTGTCACTATTGCCCATTTGTTGCCCACATATTGTCATACTAGTGCATTTGTTATCTGCATATGGTCACAATTGGCTGTTTTCAGCACTTGTAATTATTTGCTACCTGCATATTGTAACAGTTATTGTCTGGATTACCATTTTTGTCTATGTATTGTGAAGTCAAGTCACCACTGTTTAGAGGATCATATTATTATAATTCCCCCTGTAGACCCTGTTACTATGCTGTTATTCCTATGTTTTGCCATGGTGCACTTTATATCCTTGAATGTTGTTTTATGTCTCATGCTATTATTATCCCCATGTTATGCTGCGGCATTCTATGTATGCCATCTGTTGATTCATTTCGATTCTATTTAATTAAACGCACAGGTATTTTCCCCTTTGCACCTATTAAAACCTTCAATTTTATTTATTTTTGTTACCAACATGATTATATATAAAACATTCAGATAAAGAAAATCTTCACTGTTTCAATTTTCCTTGCCCATTTTTACTATTCTTTTAATTTCATGATTACTACTGAAAATAATGTTGATGTATAGAGGGGCATTGAAGGAGGTGTTAAAAAATAAACCACCCCAGAAGTCAACTTCCCCAGTGAATTGGACAGCTAAAAGTAACTGCTGACCTCAAATCAACCACAAAAAAAAGACAAAAAAGCTGCCAAAAAAATAAGAACAAAGAAAATAGGCAGCAAAGATGTTGATTGTTTTCTAACTGACCCTTGTAAGTTTTCCCTATCCTTTCCCTATAGCAGCTTTCAATATACTGATGCTTCGGTTGCTCTGTGCTCCCCTTTTTATAGCAAGTGAACTGACACATCTAAAAGCCTCCCAATTGGCCCTTCTAAGCCTGTTGGCCATGGTTCAAAAACAATGCAGTGCATCATGGTTTAGTTAAAAAAAAGGTATCTGTGAATATGCACATAAATTCCCCACGACCAAAAATTTGGAACCTGCAGGATCCACATTCAACCCATGGTAGTCAGCAACCCAAACCTCATCCCTAATCACAGATCCTTACTGCATTGTATCATGGTTGGATTTATTTACGTGGGGGGAGCTTACGCCTGTGTTTGCTGATGCACGAGATTAGCACAGAGTGATGTTATTCCAGGCACTGACTTACATAGACAGCTGCATATATATGTTGAGCAGGTTACATGTGTTGAGTGCTATCTTTGTTGCCTTATTGATTATAACAATTCCACTTGCCAAGACTTTTTGCTGTGGTGCCAACACTCAGCTTTATTGAAATAGTATTGTACTGCTGTGCTGAGCCAGGATTAAGAATGCTATATTTGTATATCAGTTACTATGGCTGCATATCCAATATCACTACCAAAACCTTGAGTGAAAACATTTGCCTCATTATTTTGTTAAGCAACTATATATACATATACAGCTTCAGTAAATGTACATGCAATTTTCCAGCATAATCTGAAAGGTAACAGATAATTGCTTTTCTTTGTCTACAGGTGCCCGGGTATGTCTCGGAGAGCAGCTTGCACGTTATGAGCTATTTCTCTTTTTCACTACTCTCATGCGAACATTCAGCTTTCATCTACCAGAAGGAGTAACAGAAGTGAACACCAAATATATCTTTAAGACAAACCTGCTGCCTCACCCTTATACGATTTGTGCTATACCTCGATAGTTCCTGCCAAATAAGGGTGTAACTTCCACATAGAAGCCTGTGTGACTGCTATGGGGCCCAGCATCACAGAAGACCTATAACATTGTGATCTACACAGGCAACAACAACGACTGGCAAATTACTACATTTATAGTTCAGTTATCTTTCAGTGTGTTATTATGGCAATAGTGCACAATGGTGTTTGTTATTCTTTTAGAATAGCAAAGCTTTTAATGTAACAAGTAATATGTATTATTTAGTAAACAGCACAAGTAAATAGTAATTAGTCTGTGAGTGTGTCCAAAACTTTCCAAACTTTGCGACTGACTAACTACAAATATTTTAGTATTGTAAACGTTACAATTTTTGTATAGCATTAGATAAAAATACAGTACCTTCCCAGCTATGACCGTCACCATGATCAAATTTATTTTGAATTTTATATGTTTTCATTAATAAATATTGTCATTTTAATAGAAATCCTAGAGATTCTTTTACATTTTTCTAAGAGGTGTATGCTTCTTCCTCAAAGCTATTACAGTATGTGTAGTCTTCCAGTGTTTTTGGTTAGAAAATATCAGTTACATTTCCAGTATTTTTTTCTGGTGAGCATTAAACCTGAACTCCAGGCAGATAAAATGGATGCTTTTAAAAAGCTGAATGATTTTTTTTTTACATATACAACTGCATTTCTCTATATGTCTCCTATAATGCATTGTGCAGCCGGACTCTGCAGAGGCTGGAAGAGGTAGGGCCAGTTCTATGAAATAACATGCATCTGCTACATAGTGCTGAATGGAAATGTGTTGACAGTAAGGCCGCTTTCAGATGGGTGGTCTGATTAGGTCTGCCTGTCAGTTTTTTTTAATTTCAGATGGACTTGATCGGGTTCCCAATGTAAGCCTATGGGCAGCAGGATCTAAATGGGCCAGCTCCAGAAAAACAAACGGAGCAGTGTTCAGTTTCGCCTGACCTGATCATGCCGGATTGAGGGTAATCTTGACTTTATCTTATGCCCCTTTCACAAAAGGGATACATGTTTGTTTACATCCGATTCCCCATAAACCGACATGGGGTCTGGTCATTTCAGTTTTCCCCCGATCTCAAGATGGAGGAAAGAAGTGGACGGACACAGATGTCACAGCAATGTGTACCGCTCTGATCAGGAGGTAATGTGTGCATGGATCTCCTCCTGATCAGACAGTGTGAAAGGGGCCTAATATATTAAACAAAATAGTTTGCGCTGGAAGTAGGTATGTCGGCACCAGCCGCAACAGTGTATGTATAGATGTAAAATGGAAGGCTTGTATGTTGCGCTCGGTTCAAAATCTATTTGGTTTGTCCGTGATATATCATCAAAACAATAGTTTATATAAATCGATGTGGTGAAAGGTGATAATACAATTAAATGAACACAATCTATATAAAAAAACTAATGTGTATATACTAAATGTGGATGTGTGATCACAAATGCTAATAAATAAAGTATGTGAAAAAACTGAGTGATGGCTTTTAAGCGGAAGTGACTTGAAAAGTATCAAAAAGTGCTAAATAGCCGTGTCTAGTATAAACTGTGAACCCAAAGACGCACAGTGAAATTGGTGCAAAAAAATCGATTGTGGACTGCCGTCTAAGTGAAATCTACCTATGAATTATTGTGCCAGACAATAAAACAGTGAGATGGTGATCTAGAGCGGAACTACAAGTTGTCCATCATATTTGAAAGATGTAATCATATACAAGCAATCTGCGGTAGTGGAGCGGAGCCACTCAAGGTGAAAGATGAATAAATCCTTAACTCAAAAGGAAAAAATATGTTTTTCGACAAAAAACGATAAACGATAAAACGATAAACGATAATGGGAAACAACAAATCGATGTCAGTGGAGCGGAGCCACTCAAACCATAACCGTTCTAAACGGGAGGCATAAAAAGAAAAAATGTATATGGATTACAAACAGAGTCTCATCTATAGTCTACTTCTCTGTTATTGGAAATGTTAGTTGGATTCAGGAAAGCAAAAATAGTAACAGTAGTGAGGCTGCAGTCTGAATGTTTCTATGCTCCGGCACGGAGCTGCTGCAGTAAGTTGATGGTTGCTTCTCTTCCACAATTACCCAGTCATTCGCCGCTGTAGTGGCGGCTGAGCCAGCCCACCAGGTGAAATAGATAGCGGGATCAGGCAGTATAATATAGAGGGAAGAAAAGGAGAAAAAGAATCCTAAGTGTAGTTGTTAAACAAATTTATTGAACGCAAGAAGGTTCACACTTACAGGATATTAGATGGTTCAAAACATTTAAGTGTAAAGGACACTCAACTAGTAGAATCACCGGATACGTAGGAGAGGAATCCCGAAGGGATGTGTAAAAAAATGTGTAAAAAAACACATTAGTTTTTTTATATAGATTGTGTTCATTTAATTGTATTATCACCTTTCACCACATCGATTTATATAAACTATTGTTTTGATGATATATCACAGACAAACCAAATAGATTTTGAACCGAGCGCAACATGAAAGGGGCCTAAGATAGACTCAAGGCCGGTGGAGCAGTAGAAGAATATGCAGATGGAAAGTGGGACCAGACTGGTGCTGAACTGACGGGGAAGACGAACACAGCAGTGAGAATATTTAATTTATAGTCAGTTATATATGAATTACTACATATGGATATTTTGTATATATGGATATTTTGTATATACTTTCATAAACAGACAACAAGTGGATCCCTGGGCTGTTTTTTTGCTTGTTTTCCAGGTTTTTCTTTTTGGCGCTGTTGAAAAAGCCTACTGCTAACCAAGTTCAATAACTCAAGCTGAAATGTACCGAAGTATACCTATACCTCTCCCTTTTCACTCTCCTGCCCTGCTTGCCTCATTAGGAGACTTCCTAAAAAGTTTCAGTTAGAGGCAGAGGGCTGATGAAGCAATAATAAATCACACACACAGCAGGAGGCTTGTTTGCTCAAATTTAAAGGCCGCTTGTGACAAAATTCCAGCAAATGCAAAATCACTCAGAAAGATGAAACAGGAAATAAAGCCAGTAAATAAACATGGAGGAGGTGGAGTATCATAAAAAAATCGGGGACAAATATCCGGAGAAGAAGCAAAAAGCAATAAGTAGTCGTCACCTCTAGGAGAAAAATTAACAAAGGCAGGCTAAGGAGCACAATTAAAGTAGAGTGTCATAGGATGAAGCATAGGAAAAGGGCATTTTGAATAATAAATGAAAGAAGAATGTAATGCCCGTATTTTTATATTAGCCAGTGTTACCAGGCCACAAAGAATTATAGGAACATTACCCACTGCTTATCCTTGCCTTAATGCTGCATATGTTGACATGTGCCAAATCTGGCAGAACTGATATCTAATCAGGTTTTCAGTAGAGATTTGTAAAGTGCTAAGATCAGGAGTGTAACTTGTAACCAATTTTAAAATTAACAAAACAAATTTCATAGATCCAAAACTAAGCCTGTCTGGCTAAATAAAACAGTAAAACAACACATCAAAGACTAGAGTGTGGCATTTAAAATATATAAGACAGAGGGGAAGGCATTGGCATTCCGGAACTACAAGGAATGTAATAAAAGATGTAAACATGAAATTCGGGCAGCTAAAATAGACTGTGAAAGGCATATCGCCGAAGTCAGTAAGAGGAACCAAAAAACATTCTACCAATGTATAAACAATAAAAGGTTAAAGAAAGAGAAGATAGGCCCAATAAAGGATGAAAACGGGAGACTAATCACAAACGACAGGGAGAGGGCCGAGGTGTTAAATAATTTTTTCTCCTCAGTATACACCCCGCAAAAAGACGGGTTTAATGTAGATAAGAATGCAAGTAGCTCACTGCAAAATATACCACAGTGGTTGACGGTAGCCGGGGTTCAACATAGACTTGAAAAACGCAAAGCAAATAAAGCATTAGGACCGGATAACCTGCACCCCAAGGTACTTAGGGGGTGCAGGTTATAGCGAGACCATTATTTCTCATTTTCAAGGACTCCTTAATGACCGGTTAGAGTACCAAGTAACTGGCGGAAGGCTACGGTAGTATCGATATTCAAAAAAGAGTCAAGATGCCAACCTGGGAACTAGAGATAGTCAGGCTAACATCAATAGTATGCAAACTGTTAGAGGGAATGATAAAGGACTACTTAGTAGAGTTTGTTCAAGACAATGGTATAATAAATGACAATCAGCATGCATTTAGGAAGGACCGTTCCTGCCAGACCAACCTACTAACATTCTACGAGGAGGTAAGTAGAGACCTGGGTTGAGGGAGGCCGGTGGATGCGGTATATCTGGGTTTTTCCAAAGCGTTTGACAGAGTACCTCATAAACGCTTACTACACAAGCTGAGGTGTATGGGCATAGGTGAAATGTTGTGTAAATGGATAGAGAAATGGCTACAGGAACGTGTCCAGAGAGTATCGATAAATGGCTCCTTTTCAGATTGGTCTAGGGCAGGGGTCGGCAACCCGTGGCTCCTGAGCCGCATGTGGCTCTTTCATCCCTCTGCTGCAGCTTCCTGTCCAGGGGCGGAACTACAGCTGGTGCAGCCAGTGCGGCTGCACCGGGGCCTGAGGCTGTGGGGGGGGCTCAGTGAGGTCCAGTCCTGGGCACCCCCCGGTGGAATATGTGGCAGTGCAGGGTCCCGGGGCCCCGCACTGCTGACAGGCTTCTCAGCAGGGGCGGGTCCTGTTATTCACCTCCTCTCCTAGCCGCGTCCCTAGTAACAGGCGGCGGGAGAGGAGAAGTGTGTGTCACATGACCCGCACCCTGCAGTGCACACCATCTGCCCTGGAACAGCTGTTTGGTCCTGAAATGTCACTTCTATCCGACTTTGTGAGTGCGGTGGAATGTGAGATCCCACTCACAGAGTCAGATAGAAGTGACAATTCAGGGCCTATCAGCTGTTCCAGATCAGTTCTCCTGCACATACGATTTGCTATGCCGATCTGCCCTCGAGCAGCTGAGAAAGCGTTGGAATGCTTGACCTTTTGGCGGTCACACATTC